GCAGAATGAACCGGTTGTTCTTTAAAGACTAGCAGCACGCACATAGCACAGGTGGAGTGCTGCCAGAGACGGTTCAAATGAGTGATTTATGCGAGAGAACTCACTATCATGAACTACTATACTACCCAGGGATGGCAGGTCGTGATACAAGGGAACACGCTGTAGAGAATTATGCCTCTCATGGCGTGATATGGTGCTTTACACTAGGAAGTACATAGCACGAACTTGTAGCGTCACTCTGTGCACTACCCACAGCTATCTCTATATGACGCGCAGCTTTCCCGCGCAACGCGCGCCATGCGCGCACCATTCCCGCGCTTCGCGATGTATACGCGCGCGCGCGTTCCCGCGCTTGCGCGCCCTATGGCGCCAGCCATCCAGAAGCATCCATCCACTGTCCACCAAGCTCCCTAGTGCGTATATTTCCATTTCCTTTATTAGCATAGTTCCACCTTTATTTTTATCATGCATTCTCACTCATATATATATTTACATACCTACTCGGTAGCGCTTCGGCTCCGCTTGACCGCGCTTAGGCGCGCTATATAAGCGCCAGCAGTACATACTATTACTTACCTACTTTTTCCTACTTTTCACTTACTAGTTACTACCCACTTACTACTTAGCAGAATATAGTAGAAAGCTATTCCTTTACATTTTGCACTCTTATATCTCTTATCTTGCTTTATATCACTACTTAAGCTTAGTTTCTCATTTCCGCATACGCGCGCGCACTTTCCCGCGCTTCGCGCTAATACGCGCGCGCGTTCCCGCGCCTTTGTACCTTGCGCGCTCCTGCGCTTTCTCGCGCTTCGCGGAAGCGCACACTTCTAGATCCTTGCTGCACTCACTTCCCCTATAGGGTCGAACGCACTTGCTTCTCAAGTAACGCAGACTAGGCAGCGCGCGACCTTACAACTTTTACAGATACAGTCAGGAGCTTCTTTTGTTCCTCATTGTATTGTTGTTTCTACAACGCTCCTGCAAATTCTACCGAAAGTTCTGCCGTCTGACCTGAGCAATAACAATTCTTCCAGATTGATCAGAGTCGTGCCCATAAGTGTATGCAGGATATAAAAGCTGGCCGTCATCCTACAGTGTTCCCCCATCCTCGGAGATACTATTCAAGATCCCCTCAGAAGATTCCATATCACCTCGCACAGAAAATGTGTTTCTCCTTCATCACCATTGTTGCTGCTTTGACAGCATCTATGCATGTCAGTGCATATTGTTATGGCCAAAGTTGCAGTACAACTGCAGATTGCTGCCCAGGCACGACTTGTGGACTTAACGTGAGTATGAACAGGTCGCTGTGCAACTAGGATTCAATCGCATGACTCACCTGCGCGCCTTAGAATGGAGCTATGGTCTGCGAGATTGTCTCGGATTAGGTTACAAAATTGAGCTGGCAGTACGAAGGGCACATGGGGACAGTAAGTTATGCTTCTGCTTTCGCTTTGGTACCATGGTTGACAGTGTAATGCCTAGTTTGCAGTCAATCAGTACAGTTGTTTTGGGACAAGTTTTTGTATTGCTCGAGCAATGTGAATATTTTGAACTTATCTGAAATATGATCGATTGTGCCTAGTCTTACTCGTGGTTCACTGAGCTTCAAGTCAAGTTCGAGGGGCTGTCGAACGTTCAAGTGTTGCTGGAGCTCCAGCTAAAGCCGGTTCTGACATTATGGTTTGACCTGTCAACGATGTTAATTGGCTGACTACGCTGCTATCTCTTCCATGGACCACTGCAATCGACATCTCCGTTGCAATGACAAGGAGAAACTAGGAGACAAGCAATTCATAGTCAGCTAACTAAAATGACAATGCTATCCATGGGACCCGCGAAATTATTAGCACGTCTAAGCTTGATCTGGTTGGCCAGCACCAGTACATGTCTCCCTGCCTTCATACCACGCTGGAAACCCGTCTGGAATCGATTGCATTTCCGGTGCATTTGTCAATAGGTATGTGGGAATGACCGATTGCTCCCTGTTCGCTTGAAGACTAAATAGTATTCGCGAAGCGAGAACGCTGTGCACAACGATCTGGGGTCTAAAATGTTGAATATGAGCTTTTGACGATACAGTTGAAATGCTCATAATGCATACCGTTGGGACCGCCCAAACATTATGCATTATGAGACATATGCAATAGCATATGTGTCACACTATTGTGACGCATGTGACCTCCGCCAAAAGTGTGACAGAAAATTGTCCATAGTCCTACAGAAGTACATGTATTATACCGAGAAGAATTGTTCTAAAGAAGTTTGTCTGGCATTAAGTAGTTCTTCGCATCGTAGGTTCGCACGAAAATTTCGAAGTTGTGATGATAAATCAAGTGAAAATTGAGGATCACCATATTGCATGCATCCAACTTCAAGCTGCTGGCACAAATTGAGAATATTTTGACGAGTGATTGATGGATCCACTTCGTCGTCGTCGTCGTCATCAGAATCAACCTCGATAACTTCACCATTTGCAACGGCAATTTCGTGGCGGACCGTGTCTGCAATGGATGAGTCACCACCTTCAAAAGCAGAGAATTCTCCCTTATCTCTCTCCTCAGCGGGGTCCAGAAGTTCATCGATAGTTGGCAAGGTACCGAAAATGCGATTGCGTGCTTGGAGTTCTCAGACTGATTGCATAAGTGCAGCTTCGGTAGAAGATAGCTGGGCAGCTTGTTGTGAGCGCGTGGGAATACGAATTTTGAGGCCGGTATGACGAGATGCAGCTTGCATAAGTGCATCAATGGCATTTAAAGCCATCTCCACATCTCCTTCAGCATCCATTACAGCTTTGAGGGCCGGTCTCCAATCAGAATCTATGTAGTGCTTGCCAAGAAGAGCCTGTAGCTTGTTCTCCGCATTGGGAAGGGACATTTCGGTAGTTGCGAATTTGTGGATGATGTTCCACGCAAGTGGATCCGTGTGAGGCCGTGTGTCAGTGTTAGTCGTTGGATCACTGTGATAGACTTGAGCACCGAAAAAAATGAGGTCAAAAGATGACTTACACTTGAATGTCAGTGTGATCCCAACAATGTTTGATGATTTCGGACGTGACAGCATACCATGCTTGCTTCGCCATTGTCATGCCTTCGAGAATATTAATTTTATAAATATCCCGTTCGCCAGCTTCATCAAGATCAATAGCACGTGCGCAAAAATTATGGCGATATAGTGCCTTGAAGCATCGGATGATTCCAGCATCGCATGGTTGGACAAATGGTGTCATGTTGGGCCCAAAAAATTCAAGATCAATGTTTGATGGTTGATACGAGATGCTGTGGGCAGAGAAATTATCAATAAACATGCAAATGTGCCGGTTTTGTTGCTTCATCTGAAGATCGAGTTTTTTGATCCATCTAGGCCACTGATTAGATATTAACAGCAATCATATCATCATGTCCACGTACTCCTCAAATATGACTGCTGTCATCCAAGCCTTCTTATTATTCTGATAATAAAATCCCCGGTGTTCCAGTGTCTGCTTCTTGAAGCATTGGGGTTTCTTTGCCCTGCCGATAAAAAAAGGCTCGAGCCTCTCGCTTCCATCTGCGTTGCAGGCTAATCCGATAGAGATACGGAATTTCTCTTTCTTCTTACCACTCATTTGTCGTGTTGCAAGACCACGGTCTGGAGGTGCACTAAAATGAAAAAAAATTAGGTGACATAGATTAATATAAATGAACACTCACTAAGGAAAGAACGATGTCTTGTCAAAATTCCACCGATCTTTGGGAGCAAACTTCGCCAAGATCTTATGACAACGCTCTCGTTCTTTATCAACAGCTTCGATGTCAACAGACCCAGCTTCTCCATGCCATCGGTACTCGTGAATCTTGTAGGCAGTACAAAATGATTGGAGCCATTCCCCCGACAGCCTTTCATTTTCCGGGACATCAAACTCATCTTCAAACCTTTTCCGTTTCTCTCGCAGCATAGGCCCAGTCACTGTTTCACATCTACTCTCCATGTGCCTAACCCACAGAATTAAGGCACGTTCAACATCGGGCCTTGTGACAATCCTTGGCCGCTTCGATGACAATGCATTAGGGTTATCGTTGATCCGTGCTTCCATTTTTGGACGTTCCCGCAACTTGCGTGATAAGGTTGACTGCATGAAATTGAGTGCACCCGACTTGAGAGATTTAAAGTGTTCAACAATTTCAATCTGTGATACAGTAGGATGAGAATCAACAAATGAATAGACTGTTAACCAGTCAGAGAGTGTAAGATTGTGGCGAGAAGTGCATTTGGGAGAATGAGCTGAAGTTCGAGGAGTGTCCTTGGTGATTTTCTGCCGCTTCGCAGGTCGGTTATAGACAGCGGGCTTGTCACGGGGTTTGTGTTTTGGGTTTACGGACATTGTTGTGTGGTATCATACTGTCATGATTACTTGCTAGCTTCTATACATAGTCGAATGAGACAATACCACTGAAGCAGAACAATAAATTTATGCAATACATTGTTGTACCTATTGTCCCATCCTATCAATTTGGTACCTCATAATGCATATTGGCTATGCAAAGGTTATGCATTATGCGGTCAATTACATGGGAACGCCGTCGGGATCCAAAAAAGTCCATGCATTATGAGACTTATGCATTGTTAGCATATGCATTATGAGCATTTCAACTGTATATATATATGACCAGGCTAACACGTTTAACATCTCGCTGTATGAGAGCTAAGGGCGTGCTCAGTTCTTCGAAGCCTACGTAATCAGAAAAGAGCTCACAGGGAACACAGAGATGACAATCACATTAAGAGTGGATACCACTATAGAGATGTCAGCACGAAAATCATAATACATCAGGAAAACGACAGGTTCCTTATTTCACCTTATGTTACTTAATTTCTGTTAGGAAGATTTTTCAGCCGACTTAATCATCACTTTTTCTACTTGTGAAAAAGCAGTTCGAGCTTCTAAACAAGTTCATGTGCGAAGTTCAAAAAAGCTGGAAACAAGTGTCATAAGCAAATGCTAGACCGAAAAAAGTCTAAAATGCAATTTCAAAGGAGTGATGATCTGCATATTTGTTAACATAAAAACGGTGGAAAATATCATAGGTCTGATGGTGGTGATGTTGCGCAGGAATAACTTGAGTACCATATACAGGAATAAGGTGTGCAGCGCGGTAGATTGAATCAATATGTATGACGGAAATATGGGGCGTGTTGTTGTTATTATGAGCAGGCTGTACAACCCACATTCCAGTGTCTTCGTTCAGCGAGTCTCCAATGGTATCAAACCACCGCACAACTGCACATGAGTATAATTTTCGCTTGTAAGTAAAAGAAAAAAATGTCAGTACTCGTGCGACATCCAAGCCCCTCATACCATCGAGACCTGGATTCATGTTGACGAAGACACAATCAAACCAAGGATGCTCATTTCTCCATATCGGACATGCACGAATATACTCACGGCGCATGCCCCCAATACCACTGAGATCACTTGGCGCAAAAAATCTCGAACAAGCAGAGTTGAAAACACTGATTTTGTCGTCGAATTGGGGACAGTAAGCTAGGGGAACCTCTGATGGATCACGGGGATCGTTGCGGTTGAGTTGACCGAAGAGAAAGTGTCGCAGAAGATTCGAGAGATGTGGGATTGATAATTCAATTGCTAATGCAGCAATGGTGCGAGCACGTTTATATTCTAAATCATATGTTAGTGTAGTTTGAAAGTGACAGGTGCTTAATGACTCATGAGGTGTTTTGGCCAACTCCACGTGTGCTTCGACATTTGTTGGTCCGTCGTCGACTTCGTTATCGTTGTTGTTGTCGTTGTCCACTGTGGTATTGACAGCCTGAGTGTTGGCAGCTTCATCTGGTGCCGTGAGATTGAGGGCGCGCAGTCGTTCTATTTGAGTATCAGTGAGAGTACAATAACAGTATAGTATTTTACTTACCCACTTCGAGGACAGCTGCAGAAAGGCACGTACCATTAAGCATCTTGTGTTGCACGTACCATTAAGCATCTTGTGTTGAGTAAAATCAGCGCGCGATGCTGCGAGCTTGTCGAGGCGTTGATTTGTGACCAACATTTGGCCCAGTGCCTCGTACCGACTGGAGCGCCTCCACGGCTCCTTCACTGCTTTGATATGCTTAGCTTCAGTGATCGAAGAGCGTAAACCATTCAGGGCCCCAAAAAGTCGAATGAGGTGTATGTAGTGTTGAAGGGAATGCTGGCGAGGGAGTGAGAATGTTGAAATAACGTCGAGTGTTTCAAAAATTTGCCGGTGCCGATGAAACCAGTCAAGTGCCTCCTGGATTTGCTCGAGCATCTTCTCCGTGATTATGCTGCGTCGGACAAGATAACAAAATTCGAGAAAGGCTCGAAATGTCCGGACCATATCCACAGGGACATATCCCTCAATAGCAGATAAGTATACCTATAACAATATGTCAGTAAGATATTAGTAGTCTGATACACAAGAAACATACCTTCATAAGTGCTTTCGAGTCATCACCCGTCCACTGCTTGAAGCCTCGTCCTTGTGGGAAGCGCCGAAGACCAGCAAAGGCCGGAACAGCAGCGATTCTAGACGCAACTAGTTCAATAGATAGTACCCATGATGAGATGAATCATTTACCTTCGATCAATATCATCTATGATGCGCTCAGCATCTTTCTTCGAGTGCGTCTGGTATAGGTACTTCTCGATCCAATCAACCAGGTGGTCTTTGAACGTCCCTTTGATAAGCTGGTGAAGGATATCGGGGGCAATGAGTTCATGGATGTTGGCTCAAGCAAAATCATTCGTAAAGGGCTGATATAAAGTGTTAATGCATCATGAAACATAGTGCGAAAGGTAGGGCTTACAACGAGATCACCAACAATGCCATATTCATCCCATAAGGCATCGAGAGTACCCTCCTCGACAAGCACATCTGTATGATGACGACAGCGCCAACCGGCTGGCTCGTCTAGATTGATACGTGAAGACAAACATCTGTACAATCATTAATTTAAGTAGATTAAAGAAATGAACAATTACACACCTTGGGCACCAACCACGCACGATGCACGTCAATAAGACTTGCTCCTCGTAGTCAGCAATATATGGTCCCAGACCATATATCACACGGCGGAAATGTCCGTCACCAAAACGTGCAACTTCATACTTGGTGATACCAGGACGAAGTGTTTCGAGAATCTTGGAGAGTGAACAGTGAAACAATTGCCGGCGAAACTTTTGGAACTTCACATCACTAGTCGCATGTTCCTTCGTTGCTAACTCAGATAAGCAAACAGCACATTTAAGAAAAACCAAGCTTACTTTTGGGAATAGCGAGAAAGGCGATAATACTAACTGCGTCACGGTGGGCTCATCTAACGTTATTGCAAACATTGCCAATAGATGCATAGAGCGGGTAATATTCGTTGTTTCCCGTTGCAACGGAAACTGTAGTCTTGTCACTGCCTAAAACAACAGGTACAAATGTGGATCCATGTGATTCTGGATCTTCGGAGATTATGTCCTGGCGGCAATTGTTAGATTCAAAGGAGTGATCAAGAAATTGAAAGACTTACGGCCTGATCCCATGCCCAATCACCAGACATAAAGTCTTTCCACTGACGCTCGTTGTCATCAGTTGAGAACTCGCAGTAGGGTCTGTAATCAAACTCTTTGGCATAGTCGGGATTTGCAAGCATGTTGCAAATGGCCTCTTGTGGATCACGGTACCAGACGTCAAAGACTTGATCCATCCATGGCGGTGCATCAGTGTCTGGTTTTTCACCATTGTAGCGAACTGAAAATGACTGCCACTTCACATCCCCAAGCGGTGTTCTGTCGATGGTTTTGTAAAGGTCATGAAAGTCGGCAAATGGAGGCTTGTCGTCATGTTTCTTGAGGGTTGAGGCCCAGAGATCAAGGAGTTTATTGATCTGACCTGCAGGCGTCTGATTCTCGGTAAATAAATACTCTGCTGTTTCAAATTCGACACGATTTCGGTAAGGAGTCCAGTCAGAGGAGGATTTATCAGAGAGTGGTTTAGGTAGGCTTCCAGGGGGGAGAAACATGCCATTATCATCACAAGGGCGGGCTAAAAGAATGTACATTGTTAGAAAATTGATCTAATAACGAAGTGAAGCATTTACCATCAAGGTCCTTGTGAAAGTTCCGATATAAGCAGTCTCCTGGCCCCCAAAACTCAGTGTCAATTCTCGGAGCTGGTGAGTTGTGCATCCCATCATGTCCCGTCAGATTCAACCAATCATTCTCGACTTCTTGAAAGTCAAACTGCGGCTCATGTGGTTGCGCAGGGGCCGGATAGTAAGGCTCTTCTAGCTCTTCAGAAACACTGGCATGGTAAGAGTTAGGTGGCTTTGTGATTGTAGGATGGGCTGAATTCCAATGTTTGGTTCGTCCTGCTTGAGTTTTGAAATAGCGCTGACAATTGGAGCATCCACAAGGGAGTTGGAGTGCATTATGGTCTGGTCGAGAGTTCCGGTTCCTTTGAAGAATATAAACTGTGTGTAAAAGCATGAAAAAACAGGGCATGTACATAGTTTATGCTTAGCACCAAGAAAATATGGTTTCGGTCCAAAGTAAACCATGCTTCGAGCCTGAGTGCCATGGTCGTAATCAATAACACGTTGTCCGTGTTTGGGATAAGGGTAACACACTTAAAAGTTTTCACTGAACCTAGACCATTTCCTGCCGCTCTCTGCTACCTGCAAATTTCTGCCCGTCTCACTTGCAGCTCCTCACCCGCATCTTTCATATCAATATGCCTTCCCAACCTGCTGACACTACCGTAACTCGTCGTACTCGTCCCTCCAATGCAATTGCACATCCTGGTGTGATCCTCTTGCAGGCAAAGAAGACCCAACATATGGCCGAAGAAGTTGCTGCTGCTCGAGCAGAAAAGGCAGAGCAGGCTGCAGCACGGGCTGCAGCTGTTGAAGCAGGAGCTAAGCGCATTGCTGGTATAGAGCTGGAGATGGAAGCCAAACAGACGAGCACGCTGGCAAGGAAGGCTAAGGGAGTTCGGCCTCGTCCAATTCCCACCAAAGGCAAGAAGGTGGCTGTAAAGGATGGTCTGAGTCAGGCGGATGTCACAGCAGCCTATGGTGAAGGCGATGAGGTCAGAACCAACTTGAATCAAGAGCCAGAGATTCTTACCGGCTCATGTGCAGATGGGTCTCAAGGATGACTCCAAAAAGAAGATTACCAAAGTTTCGATGAAGGATGCTGTCAATCAAGCGCATGAGCAAATCAAACAGATAACTTCTGCTGATGGCGGAGATAAGGATGCCCGTGTCCATAAGAAGGGCGACTCAATGGATGTCACAGTGTAGGTTTCCCTGAACCTTCTCATCATGCTCCTGCTCACCGAATCAACAATGTTCTTCCTCAATTTAACTTTGAACCGTAGGAACAAGCCTGAGTATACTCTTAGCAGCAAAGTTAAGAGCTGGGTCTCAGACGTCGACATACCCATCAAGAATCAGAATGCACCGCCGAGTCATGTGACTCACACATCGCCTCCTCCTTCAACAGTTTTTTCTCATCTTACGGGCTCTTCCAAGACAACTCACAGTGAAATCCCGACTGGTATTCTTAACAGTCCTCAATGTTCAGGTGTAGATGAGGATATACCAGGAGGTTTTGCTGATGATGAGGATGAGGACGAGATTGACAAATTGGAACACCTGGCTGCACATGGAATCACTACCAAGGAAGGGCGGTCAGCTGCAGCAGTAATGTTTTAATTTTTAGCTTTCGAAAAACATCTGACATTATTATTCAAAGATGGTGCTGACTCTCACCATTGATGACTCTGATGATGAGTTGGAGATTCCAGCAGAGTTTCGTGCTCCGTTCACCCAGCCTTCGCCAGTAGGCTTGCCTAAGGCTTCCTTTGCAGTTGGCAACCTCAAAAGGAAGGCCTCTGAAGGGAGTGAAATCGAAGATTTAGATTTTTTGTCGGTTGATGCCTGTGAGTCAACACTGATCGTTGACATTGATGCTATCAGACTCACTGCACCTTTAGTTGACAATACATTGGAAATCGACCTACCGGACAAGAGTGATCTGACGTATGAAGTGAAGCCTGGAAAGCCCCCCGTACCACAAGCTCGGTGAGAATTTAATAATATAGAGTTGTCCTTTCTGATGCAATTTTTTTATTAGACGTCAGTTGTGACCACAGACACCAAACCTGCTCTCACTAAGAAGGCAAAGGTAGAATCACTTAAGGTTTCAACATCTCTTCGTGCTACTCCTGCCAAACCCAAGGAGCAGTCAGTCAATGTTGACATGCCACATGACAACTTGAAGCCTCGAGCGCAATATCGAAACACCGACCTTCCTGAACAAGTCCAAATGGACCACCGTTGGGCTAAAAAATTCCTTCCGACAATGATGTTGTGGGCTGGCAGCCAAGAATCCCTCTGGAGCATCCCAGATGAAACTCTACTGACACATATCCAAATTGCATTTCAGGCAGTCTACCTGGAGCTTAACCTTGTCATTGTTCAGAATGGTGCTGTTTTCTCATTCATACGCTCTTGTCATGCCAGATGTCTACAACACCTCACTACTTATCTGTTCTGACTCACAGACTGTCCAACGGCTTTCCGAGTGGCGGAGCAACTTCGGCTCTACGGCCATCGCAATCATCTTCGATTTTCTGACGAGCAACAATGACTGTGACCCAGAGGTTCTCACAGGGCTCCTCTTGAAGAATTTCACCTTCATCTTCAAGGACATGGACAAGTGCGAGCCTGACGGGGCGTTCCACTCTGCATTTATGCTGCAGCTCCTTGGAACGGCCCACCTTAGCACCATTAATGGCCATGCTACCATTCCCGCATTGAAAACCAAGGACCTTGCAACAAAAGGGATGGCTGGTGTTATTGCATTTTGTGCTACAGCGGTCTGTTCATTTTCTTGTTAGCAATGCTCCAAGTCCCACTCAAATAATTCACATAGCTTGAGCGTGCCATCACATTGATTTCAGATGGCGATATCAAAGTCGAGGACATCTTAGCATCAACCTCAGCACGCAGCAAGTTGAACATCAAGCTTCCCAAAGTACTCAACAAGGTCACCGGGAAGGTGACAAGTGCTCCATATCTGTTTTCACGCGATCTCTGGGGTAAAGCGAACACTGGGTACATGAAGAGCATCAAGAAGAAGGGCCTGGACTTCGTCGAAACCACAGTAGACATGGCGCGGTCAGCTTTGAACGAAAGTAATGCTGCAGATGCAGGCATCTCTGAGAGCTCTGACGATGACCGTGCCTTCTTATGTATGTACAACGTTATCTTATTCAAGCTGTGCCTCTGTCTTTGTTCGCAAATTTTTTTTTTTTTTATATTTTGCTGATTTGGTGGATTTGGCAGAGCTGTTCTCTGATGGTGTCTGTCCATGGGCCTTCTGATACCATCCTTAACTTGCTTGGCGGACTACTATTATCACCACTCGTTATACATCCCATCCTGTGCTATTTTCTACCAGTACTAGACTACTGGTACTGCTTTCCGACTATCGGTTCACATTCATTTTTTTCTGGTTTTATCTTGCTTAATTGCTTTTGTGTCATGCTTTTCTGAATGGACGATGCCTTTTTTCTGATGCAAAAAGTAAACTAAGTCAGAAATAAGTGAGAATTCAGACGACGAGTGGCCTTTTTCCACTTCATGGCCACTTATTTTAGCCTTTGCTTATTTTGCCTTATTGAATGTGAAAAAGTGACAATAAGGTGAAATAAGGAACTTGTCGTTTTCCTGATGTAACAATGGTGTTAATACTTGTGATGCAGGTCATGTAGAGGAGTCCATCGCCGTAGACACTCCTTATTAACGTGTTATCGCCTTCTGGGTTGCTGAAATGGATGGGGGCGGCACTTAGGATCACACACGTCACCATGATGGTCTGCACTATACGGGTTAGTAATGTACAAGGAAATAGAGATATCATTGTACCAAGCCAAATGATAAAAGAACAATAAGATTAGCCTTTTTGTTGCCGGAGAAGGCATGAACCCTGACAATCAACAGACCTGTTGTGAATGTGAATGCCCGATGTAACATGGTATCCCAAAGCCAACCTTCACTTTTATCATCTTCAACTTGTAGTAGTTAGTCTTTTTCGTTGAACAGTCAGTCGGCCTCAGAAAGACGTATCGTCTCGTCATCATTGATAGCGGACATGAGCAGTGCATGCGGGTATTCGAGCAACCCGTCCGGCTTCCTGACAACTTTTTCATGAATACAGTTTGGATGTGAAATAAACACAGTACTATAGTTGAAAAGACTCGGGTATCACGGAGAATTACAAGTTGCGGACTATCCTCTTCCTTGGGCTTCAACACGCCTGTCATGAATGCGATCAGCAACAAAGCGGTTGTTGTAAGACTGGGCAAGACTGGGCAGTGGTCACGCAATCGACCATTCAGATCATGGCATTCACAAACATTACATAATATTGCTCGAGCAGTGCGAAATTTTCCCAAAAACAACCGTACTATACTGTACTCAGTACTGATTGGCTCTGAACTAGGTATTACACCATCAACCATGATAACAAAGCGAAAGCAGAAACATGACTCACTGTCGCGATGTGCTGCTCGGGCTGCCCGATTAATTTCAACTTTCAAGCAGGCTAGTGGCAGACCAGATTTCCTCCCTAAGAGGCACACGTGAGTCATGCGGTTGAATCCTTGTTACACAGCGACCTGCTCACATCAGCGGCACAAGCCAAGTTATTGCAGCAATTGCTTGTTTCGCATAATTGTCCTTTTTTCGCACATGCACTGACAGACATAGATGCTGTCAAAGTAACAACAACGGCAAGTAGGGAGAAACACATTTTCTGTGCGAGGTTATATGGAATCTTCTGAAGGGGATCTCGAATGATATCTTTGAGAATGAGGGAACACTGTAGGACGACGACCAGCTTTTATATCCTGCATACACTTATGGGCACGATTCTTCTCATCGATTTGGCAGAACTGTTGTCGCATGGAACAAATTTCGGCAGAACCTGCGGGGGTGTATTCAATTAAGAACGACCATTGAATCATAACCTGCCTGCAGGCATTGACGATTCTCTTCTTCGTAATTACAGGACCCTCACTCGAACCACCGGTCTCTCGTCCTCAAGGCCTCACTCTTCGCTTCATCATTTGAACCTGCACTGACCCTGCCAGTGCAACGACAAAGTCAAGAAGTTAGTATCATTCTCGCTGATACTTCCGATATGTACTTGGTCGTTATCTCGCGTGATTTTTCACCTACTGGTTGTTCCCCTATATGCAGCACACCTGGAATTCGCCTACGCTATTTGTAGGCCAGTGACCCTGCAACTGCTGCGCAGATAATGAGGTATCTTTTGGAAATTGATAGTCATTCTCATTCTTTGCATGCGCTTGGTCGAAGATCCCTGGTACAGTAGTCATGGCCACAGCCATCACAGCTCACTATATAGTTTTGGACAACTACGACAATATCAAGTTATTCCATGGCAAACCTCGATGACCCTATACTTCCTCGGAGACAAGGAACAGCATTGATGAAATTAGTGACCATCAACCAACGCTGTTCCAAGTTCCGCTTTCTTGTCAACTATCACTTGCACTCCATCCAACACTTTTTTTAATCCTATTTATTGTCTTCTTGGGGCAATGCCCGATGTAAACAGTGCATACGATATACTATTGACTACCATCCAACACTCACTCGGTGAAGAGAGACACTACCGCTCTCGAGCTCCCCGGCGCTGTCATAGTAGTACCAGGCAGGAAGTGATATTAATCAAATACTCTTCACCTTTATTCACTTTCATCGTAACGTGCGCTCCTGTATGAGCTTCGACTATTTGAGTAGCATAAAATAACCCGTCTGTCACGTGACGATGTAGCATCTTTATCAGATCAATGATACTAACTGTAGCGGTGCACAACACCAGGACTAAACTCCCTAGGGTGACATGTACATACTGTGGAACTAGGAGATGTATGTTCAAGGATTGATTGTTGATGGGGTAGGTGATGAACAGTGACACGGGAATGGTTACCGGTTCACTTAGAATAGTTGTTGTTCACTATGTAGCAGCACGCAAATAGCAATGAGGGGAGAAATTTGGAAATTACAGACTGGGGCGTTGCATTGCGCTCATCTCCAGTCCGATATTTTGAATTAAACTCTAATTTGTTCTTGTACAACTCAAATTCCTGCATAAATGTTCGTACTGATAGTTGTTTGAAAAAGTGTTCGGTAAATCAGTCGAGCACTATTCACTGGATGGATGTGCGTGGCTCCGAAGACATCGTCAAGAGGTTTATCATGCAAGATATAGGAGCAAACGGCCCTGGTCCTACTGTAATGATGACCCAGGAAAGCTTGAGGGCATGTTACAGAATAACGTCGGTCTTATGTTAAATTTTGTAGCGACCAGGGGGATCTGAATGCGATCGTGGTTCATTGATCAAATCTGCAAATCACTAATCACTCGCGCGTCAGTGCCAATGGCCATACTGCATGGATGCGAGGGCAGAAACACGACTCACTACGCAGAACCAATTGAAGAGCTGCCATGCAAGTGAGCCAGGCTATCGGAGCTACGAAGACTACTGATACCCACGCAAGTCCGATGAGTGCAGCCAAATTCTTGGCAATCTTCATCAATGTAGCAAAAGTTTCGACATTGAGTGGTGCCAGCCTCGTCAACCTGAGGGGGTATGGCAAAGACGGATGATGAGGCTAAAGCAGCAACGACAGCGAGGACAAATGCAGAGGAGAAACACATTATTTGTGACTCTTGTGATAAGAAATCAGGTAATTCTGAAGAAGACGGTTGGCTTTTATGAGCTGAATGTTGTTATTTGAAATTCTTCTTGCGTGGTTGTGCCTTCAACCAGATGGCACCGATCTATAGTGCCAGCAGATTGCCAGCCAAGGTCCATCACCAACGTGGGGTCGAACTACTGTCTACTGAACATTCGAGTTTCTAACCAGCCGTCGACTGGGTCCATAAGCACTCAACATTTCGGAGCCATCTCCACATAGCTCCAAGGGTTGTCAACCTGACGGATGTCTTAGTATGGCAACCTTCTTGAAAGCGTCAGGCTCATGAATGAGTTTTGCTTGCGCCTCTATCTCCTTCTCCATACCCAGGGTCTTGTTGAGTATGTTGATGTTGGATACTGCGTGCAAGTGGATGCGTTGGCATATGAATAACGGGCAGTCACGTAATAAGTGCTCTCGCGTTTGACGTGGCATTTCACATGAGCAGCCGGTAGGCTCAGTTTGCACGAATGAAGCATGGTACTTTGAGCTCTCCGATGAATCATGCATGAATCTACGCCCTGTGCGGCACTGTGTAGGCGGCCATAAACGAACGTAAGTTCGGCATCTATCAAGACATCCATTTTAGCAAAAACCAGGTAAGATGTTGGTCAATATACCACCAGATTCATATTCCAGTAGCAGCCAAATCCGCGCCGAACCCATTGTATACCTGATGATCTTCATCTTCTTCAAGGATACCATCTTCAGCTTGTAGTCGGTCCTCTTCGTCACTGAACAGTTATTCAGCCTCAGGAAGAGGCGTATCGTCTCGTTATCACTAATAATAGTGGGTGGGTGTGACTCGGAGCAATGCATCAGTGAATTGATGAGTCCGTGATATTGTAGTCGTGGGAACTATAGAGGGATGTAATTCTGCTCCTGTTAAACATAGCTATCTATACTGCAAGAAATTCGAGTTGTTGGTACATAGCCATAGATGTATGCAAATATAGACTACAATAAGGAGTCACTGACAAGATTGCGACATTGCGGCATCACGGCTTAGCAAGGGATCATAGCATAATTGTAGCCGAGTTATTAAACGTGCTTATTTATCATAATTTAATTTTCCGATGCCAAAGCCATCCATGTCTTTATCGTGAAAAGTAGCACTAGCAATGGTTGAGAGATATATTTTCACATTGCAGGTTGCAACAATGTTATGACAGTGCGTCACCATGGCTTGAAATTGAATGATAAGTCATGGTGCCTGATTTGTTGAGAATCCGCATTTTCCATCATTTGGGTGTTGAATTTCTTGGCAAGATATCGCTATATAATTTGCGTAATATTGCTACCGCTATGTAAGGTTTTCTTTGATATCTTTCGATACAAATGAACAAGACCTACTAGAGCAGCCGGTTACTCAGGCAGTTCTCGATAAAGACGACTATGGGGGTCCATCATCACAATAGAGGGAAGGATGTATATAACATTGTAGCGAAAGTGATATAAACCTGCCACACCAACCAAACTGGCGAAGCCTAGGTATTCAAGCGTGCCGGAGCATCACATAAACGACTTGGTCAAAGAACTTTTCTTAGCTGCATTGCCGGCTTTAACTACAGCAGGGTCGTTCTTAAGGAGCTTATACAGTGACTGGGTAGAATGCAACAATAGTCGACTCCGTGAAAGCGGGAATGAAGATTGCGCAGCATTGAGTATCTAACTTGGTGAATTTGTAGGTGAGTATCGGGTTGTGATGATTGAGGCTTCCGTGCTCGAGGCCCGGCCGGTGGACGAGCGTGACAGAAACGCCCTCGATTGAATTCTTTGACTGCCTGAACTGCGGCGAATCTGGGCGGAGGTCCAGTGCACGAACTGTCGTTCTGCTTGAGAACAGCAGGAGCGGCGGTCTGAAAGCCACCCTGCTTGAACCTGAGATTTACATGGGTGTTAATGTATAGTGATTGAGACAGGCTTGCTTACATAACCGCTGTCGACATCAATGTTCAAAACCTTTCCTATGGTAGGGCGAACACTCCTATTGTATGTTGGTTATGAGAAACGCAACTCCCTTAAATCACTCGCCGTTATCAATATCGTACAATGAACTATATGGTCATTGGGATTGTAGATGATCAGCGGTCCTCGTAGACCGTCACAATATTAGACCTGAATTGTAATCAGTTTCCGACACCATGAATAAATAAAAGCACGCACTCCATAATGAGAGTGGTACCAGTACGTTCCCACTTGGTCGGTAGCATTGAAGTCATACAAAAAAGAGTGTCCAGGAGCGATCGGACATTGCGTGATAAATGACACGCCGTCCATTTGGTTGCTATTCGCAACAGACATCATCGTAAGCTCCTGCATGCATTTATCGGCTGGTACTTACCGTAGGTACTTCGAATCGTTAGTTAATTGGTTCGTGACGTTAATCTTAAATGTATCCCTCTAAATACATATGAGGTCAACCAAGAGTTTGCGCATGCAAAGCAGATGCTACCTTCTGAGCCACGGTAGTGGGCCCGGGATGAGTGCCACCGGTAAGAGCCACCAAAATAACAATCACTTGTGCTGTCCTGCACCCTATAGTCACCCTGAGGATGAGGTTGGACAGGAAAAGCAAGCTGCGAGTTCTGGTGGTAGTGATTGTAGAGTGGACCTTACGTAAGAAGAGTACTTCTTGATGAACGACGACGAATGCACTAAGTCCGAACGAGGGTAACAAGAAGAGAAGCTTGTGAACATATGTCAGATATTCCTTATCGTATATGCTACTATAAGGATTGCATTAGTGATATGATAGAGAGATGATTTCGATGCGTACAGTCCTGCATGTTCGACAGCTTCCCAAGTCACGAGAAAGCGAACTAGCAAAGTGTTACCATGCCGAAAGAATGTTAGACTATGTAAAGACGTACTAAAGGTCCAGCCTCATCTTCTAAGATGGGAAAAGTGCTCGGGTGCTTCCTCCAGTGGAAATGGACAGCCAACAAACGTAACGACTTCGTGGTCGCCAGGAAATGTACCATGGTCATGGTTCATTGGACTGCAAAACGTTCAGCATTATGTTTTACGTAGGTAAGGTCAAATCTTATGCTTTGCTGCAGCCAGACACGTTGACGCCACGTAAACTGCAGATGCGCCCATAGGCATCAACAAAGTGCCGCCCGTTTGGCTTTATTTCTCCTCCGGTTCCAGTTCGAGACCAATCATGTGCGTATGTACGAGTCGAGCCAGGTATGTATGAAGGCAATAAAGAGGGGTGGATCTGACACCACGGTTAGCATTGGACACTAATCTTACACTGAGCTCAGAGTCTCAGACCTTGTCTAGAAGTGGATCCGGCTGTGCATAAGATGGAGACGGAGTTGGCTTCGGACTTCCTTCAAGAAAGACAAAGGAGTTCTTGGAGCCAGATGGGCTGAACATCGGTGACTGTGACGCGGGTATCTGGTCAACGTCAGACTAGAAACAATTGGATGGAATGATGCCGCTGCGGTGTGATGACACTTCAAAAGCAATGGTATAGAAGGAAATGCCCTGATGAGAACTAGGAATAAGGCAAATCCAAGGAGATCTATCGGTGTCCAACTTCGCAGCTAAAAGTAAAAAACGCGAGGTACATGGAGGACATTGTAAAACGTGTCTTGCGGTCGCGGGAGCGAAATCGCGCATTGCACCCTGATGTTGTTTTGTGAATCGCTCAATCACAAACTTAGGAAGAGTTGGGACACACCGGAAGCTGCTTTTGCTGGTTGCTTACCTTGTCTAACCAGGCCCGCGAGGAATTCGGGTCGTGGCACCAAAGAAGTCATCCACATCTTCTTGAAATTCGGAGGGAAGGTCAGAGAAAAAAGCTTGTTCACTTAATGTAGAGAGGTAAACTAGTAGAGACCATCCTGAACTTTAAGTCGGACTTGACTTTGAAGAAAGTCTCGTGACCGTGACAGCAGTCTTAAGGCTTTAGCTTTCAATAAGTACAAACAACCATCGGGAGAAGTAGTATGAGCCGGTACAACTTGAAGTTTGCGCTCTAAGACAAAACGTCTGGCAGCTCGTATATCTGCTAGTTTAAACTCCTAGCACATAGTACTAGTACTATCAACCACCAGGCCGTACTTTCAAGCCACTATGTACATAGTAGCACACGCCACTCCGGAAAATGCCGGAAACACTATAAATATATCTTTATCCAAATCGGGACGCGGCTCTCTCAGACGCTGATCGATAACTCAAGCACCCAAGGCAAGTAAGGATTTATTCACTCTCGATTCGGTTTTACATCTACCATTCTAGTACTATGGATAACTACGCTAATGCTAACGGAGGAGCTGGAAACGGAAACAGGGATGGAGATGGACACCAAAATCACCAGGTGCGTTGGGGTTGTTTTAACATTGGCCGCGGCTACTCACCGATATCCTACAGCCTCAACACTTCCTCCAATACCCACTAAGGCCACGGAACATCATGTTCACGATGACTCGAAGGCAACTTGTGAGTCACTCACTCATTCGCGAGCTACGATATTGACATTTTTAAGGCGTTAATATATATCACTTGGGTCGCCGCGCGAATGCGCGTGCGCCAACAAGTTTATGAACCTGCCTTACCACTTCCTCCTAATCCGCCCCCTCCGATCTGGTCAGACGAGCTGCGCACGATGATAGTGTTATGGATCGCGAGGGAACGCCGGATGTTTGAAATGGAGGTGCGGGAACTGGAATACCTCCTGGGACTCAGAGAATACCGCTTCTAGGTAAGCCATTCAGAAATTACAAGATTTCGGACGGACTTACGAGTATTATCAGACCGTATGGGTTGCGAATCGAGGTCTTCGAGGTCAGCGTGTGATGCCAGAGGTGTCCTCATAGTTGTCTCAGGCCTATTAGAAATTTGTGGCATGTGCGAGGGAACAGAATAAAATTCGAGAACGTACCTTTTCATGATAGTGGTGATAATGACGTATCCAAAGTTAAGAGAACAGACATTCCAAACTAGAAATGTCTAAGATGGACGCTGAAAAGCTTACGCTAAGTCCAAATGCCGTACAATCGCTTCAGAGTTCTAGAGTGGGTTTAAACCGCTTAAGATGAAACCGTGTGTGGCAGATCTCATTGAGATCACAGCAGTAACGTTCCGGCGGGAAATGATCCTTTGGAGAATGAGTAGTTAGTGCGTTCACCTCAGTGTTCACTAGAGTCATACTGAAGTTATCTTCTGCGAGGTCAATAATGTCAGAAATATCTTGATCTGTCACATGAGAGTCCGGTTCCAGGGCTGGGCACATTAATAAAAACACTACGATCAATATCTCGAAAAGCATACTCAACAATCCGATGAGGGAATTCTCCTCGCCTCCCTGGCTGATATTCACGTCCTTCTCCCGGCGGCTGCGAATCAACAATTCGTTAGATATTTGTTCCATGGTTATGCCAAGTTTCTTGAACAGATTCTTCCGCTTGTTGGGCATAATCTTGAGAATGATACGAAATACTGATGCAAGCCGGATAAAAGCTTTGTGCATTGCTGAAGGTTGGTTGCTTCCAAATGTATTAAACGCCTCCAAGTCAGTTCCAAGATCCAGGTATGCATGAGTACGAGAAGAGTCGATGATGTGCAAGAATGTGGCTGCCAATATTGGCCCGACTTCGACTGGGCCTTCACCTAGGGCATGCAAAAGGAATCGGATGCCTCCAGATCGCGCCACGAGATCAATGTCGATGAGAACTTCAATTTTTTGATCAGTTGCAGGGAAATTTCAAAAAACAATCACGCACCCATTTCAGCAAGAGTTTGTACACAAACGGGTCGAAACGGATCTTCCGCATGCTCGGCAACTGCTACAAATGCTCGCATAATGGGTTCCGAAAGAGGAATGGTCTTTGTTCCTGCAATGCCGCGTCGATGTCGAGGTTCAGAAGCGATGTCGACGATAGCACGAATGAGCTTAATGACTTGTTCCCTCTCTATAGCATGCTTGTTATCTCGTGCTAGAGATCTATTCAGAAAATGTGAGATTCCTATCGAGCAGGGCATAACAAATATAATACTTCACAATGAACCACTCCAGGGGCTGTTTGTGCAGCTCCTCTGCCGAATCTAAATCGACCAATGCATGCCTGGCGAGCTGATAGGCAGCGGCTCTGGCAACGCATAGAGCATCGATCAGAGAGAGCAGGGATTATCCTGAAAAGTGGCATCAATAAGTACTGATGAAGGCGTGTAAAACTGCTCACTGCTTGAACAACCTCAGGTAGATTAATTTTGTAGCAGACGCGAAGATTGCGTTATAGAATGCAGACGAGTCGGTTCATTATATCTACTCTGGACTTGTCATTATCTGTTGCGGAAATACTGCTTGTAGATGACGGAGACGATGCTGGAGGGGATGATGTTATTGAACGCGATAGCGAATTTAAGGATTTGATATAGGCATTAGCTTGAGCCAGAGTTGTTCTGAAATCATCTGCCCCAAATGTCAACTTACAAGTCAAGACGAGTAATTTACAGACCTCTGTTCCTATCATCACTGTCTACCCTGAAACGAACCCCAACCAGAGGAGCCTGAACGAATTTGCGCCGATTCACAAGAGCTCCATTCTTCCTGCGCCTGCCTCGGGATGCTTCTTTGCGTCGTGTATCAGTTGTTTCAATCCGAATTGTGAAGGAGTCGCACCGAGTTCGATCTTCCTCGTCAGAGACTCACGCTGACGCGCTTTCCATCGAGGGAACCAAAATCATGGGAGAAACCAGTAATGCCAACCGTGTCCAAACTGATGTTCCGTCAGTTCGAGGTGTTAACGACAAAATATCTGCGCGTACGATATATGATTCATCCTTTGAGTCGTTTCGATTAGGAATGGCACTTGCTAAGTCAGAAAAGCTACGCACCAGTTCTGGACCTCGATGACCGCATCGTCATCTTTGCTCGATTCTACAATAGCATCCCATTTTCCTTTGGCCTGTAAGGTATGATATCAAGTTCAGCGATGAACACCACAAATCCTCACCTTATATGCTGAGTCATAAAACACCGATGTGAGTTTTCAAATCGCCGCATTACTGAATGCTGGTGTGAGGGCCTTCAACTGCCTGATTCGCAGGTGGTAGGTAAGTCGCTTGTGCAAGGACAAGAGCTGAATAGTACCTTCTGTGGTTTTCGCCCTGAGTCCATAGTAGCCCTTTGCCAACCTGACAGGAGATATAAAAAAGACGATGTAAGATGATGATATCAACATACTGATGACTCCAGAAACGCCAACGTAAGGAGGACAGAAAGTACGGACCTGGGAATTAGCATAAGAATTCTCGATACTTGGGAACTAAAGCTGTGCCGTAGAGTAATGGACCATCATCCATTGGGTTCACAGAACCGGGGAGATATGGTCCAATACACTCGAGTTTCGTGTTTCTCATGTGCCAGAGGGGAACGGCAGGCGGGTCCTGGGTCCTCAATAACCATGGCATCACCAGGTAACACAGTCCCCTTGGACGTTATGTCGGTACTGGCCCGAGATCCGTCTCGCTCGAGTCTTCGAAGTTATGTTCACCACTGCTTCTTCCAAAGCTGTCTCGACAATGATGTAAATTAGATTCTGCTCACTATGGAGAAAGATGATTCGTATATCGGGACTGACATTGACACGTAGGCATCTGCCTTCCGGTGAGGATAAGTTGTACTGCTGGATTGAAGGATTTATGAGTGGGTATAATGAACTCTGCTATGATAACTAACCAACATTAAATGATCTGTATAACTGGATCTAGAAATGTTCTTGTCACTGAAAAGACATGAAAGGAACCACCTCTGGTCAAGATGCGGTAGGACATCAAACGAGAGATCGAGGTAGAACGATGTTGTCAAGCCCAATGCCACGACCGACGTTTTGATGGAGAGTTACCCGTCGGTTTTGAGCTATGTGGTTTTGCGGCTAATTAAGCGTTGAGCATATCTGCGGGCACAGGGAATAGAAAACGTACCCAATTGCTCACAGCCGGTCACACACCTCAAATCTGATTTGCGCACAGTTCGGAACCAGCGTGTACTATGCATACAGCAAATTTAACCCCTTACGAAACTCCCTTTTCGCGTTTCTCTCGAGATCCTTACGTCGCATGGCAAGGGTTTGAAGAGAGAGGATACAACAACTATAGTTCCCTGCTGCATATGCCACCATTATGCTAGGAAAGTGAAGTCCTGCATACCTTGCGATCTTGGAATTGGAATTCCTAAGTGTGCCGTTCCGATCCATTTCAAGTATGGCACTTATCGGGGTCTCGTTAGCGGTAGCAGTCGTGAGGGTGACACTATCACTCAGATCGCACAGTGAAGACAAGGCTTCGCCGCGAAAACCAAAGGTCAAGACGATTGAGGTCCTCCAAGTTTGAATGTGTGATGCTTCGAGCGATGAATTGACAAGTGACATAGATACCAAAAGGACGAGACTTACCGACACTTTCATAATCCTTCGGGGCTATGCCACATCCACGTCGATATCTTCGATAGACATGAGCCCATAGTTGAGAAACCGGACCTATTCTAAATGTCAGTTGGGTACACAGGCGTCAACTGAGGACGTGACGCACCATTGTTTCACAGTGGCACAGGCGTTGCGTTGGCAAGACTGTTTTCGGTAAGTTCTTTTACCTGACTGCCTGAAGGTCGACGACTACCTGACCAGAGATGATCCAATGCACAGAATGACTGTCGATTGCTCTAGACTCACAGTAAGTCGTTCTGGCAAGTATGGAGTCGCGACATGATCATGATGGGATCTGGGCAGTATTTTTTAGTCGTGACTCCCAGCCTGTCACAAAAAAATTCTCACCAACTTTCGGAAGGACTCAGACCGGAATGGTGCCAGTACCATGGCAGTCATCATAGTGCCATCTCTCGTCTTCTCTGGCTGCCATTGAGTCCTGACAGGAATCATGCTGTGAAAGGACTTCCATGATTGCCAACTCGGTGAGTTTGTTTGTTTGTTCATTGTTGACAACGCGGCTAAGGCTTGCCAATTCGTCGCTGCGATGATCAAAGTTCCTATCAGGGCTACTACTCAGAACTCAATCGACAAACGTACACTCACTAGTTGATCGATAAAGTCCACGTGTTGTTGTACGAGCCTGCCTTGAATCCAAGTCAAAGTTCAAGATGAGTAAAATCCAAATCTTGCTAGCCATCTCTGCACTCGATAGTACCGCAGCTGACTCCGATCATCATCATGAACTTCAACGCCTCTGGCATTGGCCCCAGCCGGCACAACCATGGCCATAGCCCATCAAACAAGCTTGAACAATCACTGGCTGCGTCATCGGATGCCCGCGAGCTCGATCGCTTCTTCAACTTTGACACTCCTCAGGCTGGGGCTGAAGTTGGTCACAACCATGCCAATTATCAACTCCCATGGATGATCGGTTCTACTAGTGGGCGGTGGCCCCCCCAAAACGTGCCGCCAATGGAACTCAGACACGATCCTTACCGTGATTATCATCACGCAGAACTTCAGCGTCAGTCGTTACTCCCACCGCAGCCTGTCGTGCCAAGCCTCGCGCTGGCTCAGCCGTCATCAGATCATCATCATCATCATGATCAGTTCCTGCCCCAGTGGGCTCCGGATCAACCCCAGAATCTCCAACTTGCCGAAGTTATCCAAACCTCCTTCAACGCGGTTTGGCCCAAAGAGTGGCCCTCCCATGATCAAGACTTCCAAGTCACACCCAAAAATACCCATATTCCCGGCCCAGTGCCCAACAGTGGGCCATCATCGTTGCCGGGGACTGGGCTCACCGCCCAGCCCACTGTGACTCCAAGTCAAATTTCTAAGGCCCCCCAGCGGGGCCGATCCAAACGCACTGCTCAAACTAGTATGCGCGCATCATCCCGGCGCCTGAAGGCCAAAAGTGGCGTTGAGTCAGAGGGGGGAGAAAACCTTGTTCAAACTTACATGTTTGTACCGTCGAACTCCGGAGATGCTTCGTTGGACTTTCGTGAAGAGATGAAATATTCACTTTTCAATGAATCACTCTTACCGACAACAGCCGAAATTAAAGCTATGGTACAGACCTCTTGGGAAACTGCAATCGGCAGGCAGCCAGGTATGTTTTCTCAAGTATCCGATCCGAAGATGTCGCTAACCAATTGAGAATAGCGGACCTTCGCGAATGGGCTGAGAATTTTCGCACTTCTCTGAAAAAGGGCCTCGTAAACATAGTCGACTCTGTCAGAAGTGACATGAAGGATGTCGCGAGGTTATTTGTTTATTTCCGATATGACCTACAAATCTACCAGATGAACGTCTCGCACCTTATCAATCGCAGGATTCGAGTCTTATATTTAACGGAGGATGATTCTAGATTTCTTGATGTCACGCTAACGGTAAGTCATGAATCGATCCTCGATATCAATCATCTCAAGGCTGTTAGATCGATGAGCGTACCATTGTTGTTCTTTTTGGGAACCCAGCCGTCATGGCATACATTGGATACCTGCTGTACGACAGCAGGTATCAATATCATCGATATATCGGCAGTTGCTTGACTGAACCATCGCCCGATGGTGTATCCACAATGACGGTCGAGAAGTTGCGACCGCTGTTCACCATGACAGGCACTCTCTTTCGCTGGGCCTTAGAAGAGCGGCTGAACGGGCACGGTGATTGACAGTGAGTTATGGGTCAGGAACAATCATAGTTACCACACGACGCTCAGTTAACAGATTTAATAATATGACCTTAGAGCAAAAGGCTGCGTTACAAACTTTAGTCGACCAGATTGCTACTTGCCCTTTGATCTCAAACTAGTCCAAAATTACATATATTCTTCATTTACACATACTAGTACTAGTTAGGCGGCTGGCTCATCATCGTCTTCGTTTTGTTATGCAAACGGGAGCGTCCTCGAAATACGATCTATTTACTCTCAGTGTCCCAGATATGGTGAGGTTCGCCTTCTTCGACGCTGAAGCCAGCGTGGGGCGAAGGATACGCTGGAAGGGTCGATGTTCGTGCCGAGAACAGTCAGCCTTGTGTATCCGTCGGAGTGCTTGGCAACCATATCAAAAGGTGTCCCCGGCCAATCTCTGTTAGATAATCGCGCAGAACTGAAAGCGCACCTGGCTACGTCGCATCTGCCTTGAGATAGCCAAGCTGGGTTTGAAGGTTGTTCCTGCATGGCTATGCATATCACTGCGTTGAACACTTTCTGCACCTGCTTTGGCCATTTAACTGAGGAGATGATAATTGTCGGATGGCGTGTCCAGATACAGGTGAGCCGCAAACGGGTCCATTATAAAGGTCGGATTCTACACGTGCGCCACGTGCCTCCACCAGTTGCTACTTCATCGTCAATGACACCATAGAAGGAATGAGGCGAATGCGACAAAGGGATGTCAGAATAATCAAAGGCAGGAGGAATCAGTAGCTGATGTATGCATGTCATAAGTAATCGAACGGGGAGAATGCAAACATGCGACCTTCCCTGGCTTCTTGAGAACATGGACGGGGTTCGTTCTGAGTTCTGGCTTCGGTCGTGTCTTCGTGGGCCAGAGGAAGCAATTCTTGAAGTGGATGCTTGAGTTCTAAGGCACTGAACGTACTCGCGAGCCACATCGGTAGGGCCTTTGTTTGTAGCCATACTTTAGAACCCTGACACCGCAATAGCCAAGTTTGAGTTCTCATGAGCATAAAAGCACGCGCATATATCGTACCTTTCGATATACTGAGGGAGACTTTGTTGGGTTCGACGCCCTGTTATTCATTTTCGACACAGAGAAGTCACTTCCAAGTCTATCCTCATGACTGTATGCGTCCACAGGCCCGGGTGTCTTAGGAAGATCATAACTGCTGACAGAGGAAGACCCGGAAGAATGCGCACGCTTTCGACGCGTTTTCGGATCAAGACTGTACGAATTTGAGACGTGCACTTGGGCCAGCATCCGATCAAAACGAGTATTGAGTCCCAGGGTTTTCCTGCATTTCAGAGGTCCTGGCGTAATGCCTGACAAAATGTTGTAACATAGCATCACTTCAATTTGCAATTGAGACTTTGAACATATCAGTTCCTCTTATTCCTGTGTATCATCGGTGAAAAGCTGAAACTCTCGTGAGGTATTCTGGTGAGTGGGGTATATTGATAGAATATGGATTTCGGACTCACCTCGCATGGCTCAAAGAGCCAATACTATTCGAAACATTGTCGGCCTCTGAGCTGTCATATTGAAACATTAGCGATCGGTGCCGGTGAGCTGGCATCGTTGCGCCTCCACTTGGGATCCCTGAGACAGCGACTGTCAGCTTGTCTTGTTGGTCTGTCATGGTGAATAAATAGGACTTCGTATCGTGGTTCCCTACAAGAGTGAATCAAAAATGAAGTTATTGCCAAATTGAATTACATAAGGCCATAATTACCCGAATCGGCCCCTGCACGTGCCAGCATGTGGAGCATCACTCGGAATCCTGGATTAATTGTATTAGTCCTTCCCATCATTGTCCGAGAAAGGTGCGAATATGGTATCGTGTGGCAACAAAGCACAGAATCCACACAGCAGGCCTGCGGGTAGCCGAAAGTTGACAACAACTTGATGTCTACTTCCGGGTTCCGGTCACCTTCATTACCATAAGATAAAGGTTTCAGTCGACTTGGTTTTCAACTTTATGGATTACAGGAAACGAGTATCACCATTACCCACCGTAGAAGATGCCCCTCCGGTGGATAGTTTCAAGCAACCATTTGATTCTACTGAAGCCGAGCTCCCGCTTTACCTGTATACGAAGGAACCGAAAGGTCGATGTAGATGGCAGAGGGGTGCATTCGTTGCCTTACTTGCTATTTGTCTAGCAATGCTTCTGCTGCAGAGATACCAACCTCACCCGCACCTACCCACCCAATCTTGCACACAAACCCGTAATCCTGCCTATCTCATAGAGGCTGAACACGGTGCCGTTGCTTCCGAGAATAAACGGTGTTCAGACATTGGTGTCACCGTCTTGAAGGAAGGAGGAAATGCTGTCGACGCCGCTATCAGTGCTGTTTTCTGTGTTGGTGTGGTCAACATGTTTTCGTGAGTTGTCTGCGTTTCCGAAATTCATGTTTTTGACGTAAATGAGCTCGGGCATAGGTGGAGGGGGATTCATGACAGTTTGCATTCCACCCTCATCTGAGGGTGGTAGTTCGGAAGTATATACCATTGATTTTAGAGAAACCGCGCCAACCTTGGCAAATAGTACCATGTATGCGGATGATCCAGCTGCTGCACGATCATGATGGGGTGGATTAGCAGTTGGTGTTCCCGGTGAAGTTCGTGGACTCCAGGAAGCACATGAATGCTGGGGGAAATTGCTATGGACTAGACTCGTGCAGCCAAGCATAGATCTTGCTGCTGGATGGGCAGTTGATAAAGAATTAGCGCGATGTTTGCAGGTAAAATGCTGGGCATGCGAATCCGAGGCAATGATTGACCACACACCGTCTTGCAGATGTTTGCAAGACTCATGCTCCCTAAAGAGGACTGGAGAGCTATTTTCGTTCCAGAGGGTCTTATGCTGCTTGAAGGCGAAACTATTAGACGGACGAATTACTCACGCACGCTTGCTACTATCGCATCCGAAGGACCCAATGTGTTCTACAAGGTTTGATATTCGCTGTGGTTCATGTTGGACCTACATTTAGGTTATTTTTGGCCATAGCTGACTCAATCATACACAACTTGAAGGTACAAGCCACTGGAGGAATAATGACTAATGGAGATCTGGAGAATTACACTGTGAAGGTGGATCACACTCTCCAAGGAACGTATCGTGATAAGAGTGTACACTAGCTGCGCACCAACTTCAGAACTCATACTTCTTCATATTTTGAACCTATTAGAACGCTCCGATTTTATCGGCGAAGGCCGAACTGGCTTGAATATTCACCGCTTTATAGAGGCATTGAAGTGTAAGCGCTTACCTACTTCAAATCATAGTTTGTTGTGGCATTGACACTGTCACGTCAGTCGGTTTTGCAGCTCGGTGAGTCCTTTTCCGAATTTATTACAGCCGGTCTCACGTTACGCTAGCACAAAAATTGGTGACTTGGCATATGTCACCAACGAAACAGCTCGCGTCGCCGAAATCTCCACGAAAACCTATGCAGATGCTGTAGCACTTAATCTCACTGATGTACGTTGTTTGTGCTCTGTTGCTTTACCGTATCTGGATGACACTTTAGGATCGTACGCATACCCCCGAATACTATAATCCAGATCTCTGGGTCTGGGTTTCTTTTGCATGTGCCAGACCATCATCATCATGACTCGGAGTCCTCTACTTTGCGTACTACTACCTCGTATATCAATGCTCATCTGTAAGTTATCATGATATACCGTGACATCCGCTCAATTGACATACTTGTTCGGAAGAGAACGAAGTCCTGACAGCGCTAGTGTCAGGGTCGCATATACAAGGTTGTTTGTCGAGCCTTTTTTGGAACTTACCAGTCTCCTCTTTTGTGAGTCGACCTACTACGCATGAGAGTAAATTATGACCACTCCGTTTGACCAGAATATAAATGCTCGGAGGTGAGCGAATCCGTCCCAGAGTCATCTTAGTGCATGATGTCACCCAAATCAATAACTCTGTCCCCCGTGCCCGCACAGGCTTGTAATCCGAACTGCTCCCAAGTGGGTCAGAAGTCACCTCTATCACAGAACATCAGCAACTCCATTGATTCTATGCTCTCTGCTCGTCAGCGATCTTGGGTGCAAACTGCGGCTTACTTACTGGGCGTTCGTCAAAAACTACCCGATGTAGACGGCGAAGAAATCAACCGAACCCGTACTGTTCAATCATCATATGAGGCATTGGCAGGAGCTCAAGATATCGGAGCAGTGCAAGAACTTCCTGCACTCGCAGAGCCAGAGCTCGAGCCCGAGCGAAAGAAAGGTGACTCTATGGCACTCGCTGAGTAACTTGAATACTAATCCTGGCCACGCTGCTGTAGTTGAGTTTCGGATTCCTCTGAATAGCATGGAGACCGATAAATGTACGACATACGTGGGCCGTCTATACTCCGAATCAGATCTGAGTGCCCAGGACCTGTTAGACTCCACGAGGGCCACCATGGACGTCCCAAAGACGTACGAAAATTTGGGTTGGCGCCTGTCTACAGCCCACCGCACAGACCCACCCCACCGGCTTCTGAACTCGCAAGATATCAGCAATGCTTTCAGAGCTGCACGGGAGCAGATGTCCGGTCGGAAAAAGAAGAACGTTGCAATCGAAATCGTCAATACCGTAAGTGGTTTATGAGGGTCGCCCGCACTCAGACGTCAGGGTAACAATTGACAATTGCAGAAGCCTATGGTCAAGGGAAAGTCAACAGAACGGCGGGAAGGTGCTATGTCATGGTGTTCTGCAGGGGATCAGAAGATGGAATCTAAAGCATTGCTTCTGCCATATGGGCAGGAGTTACAGATTGTCCAGAGCAAATTGCGTTGCTCTGAACATCGACTTGGAGAGGACGCCGCATTCTGTTGGGTGGATACATCACAGCCAGGCATGAATCCGCACTATCCGTTGTGTACCCGAGACCTGCAGGAGTGGGCGAAATTTTTGGTATGTATTGGCCTGCAAGCGTCACGTTGCACTATGCTTATGACTTTTAGCATGAAACTCGGGATCCAGAGGATGCCACATGTCTTACATTACCTAGCACACCTCATTTTGACGAGTTTCGGAAGACAAGGAAGGAACGAACTGTATCGCCACTTCAGCGTGTGCCTACCGAGCTCGTATCGCCTGTCATCCACAATCACGTTCACATCTCACCTGCTATCAACGACATGCTGGCTTCTAGTAACGGCCCACCTTTCGGGCAACAAGGCCAAGGCCCAAAACCACTCAAGAGGACATATGCACTCTACATGGAGAGTGACGAGGAATCGGACGATGACTGGCAACCGCCGCAGGGCATTGACAACGTCCTTGCAATCATCGATGCTCGCTACCCTGCCATGGAGTTCCCGCAGTATGTGGATAAGCTGAAGGATCGCGGCATACTTTATTTGGTGACGGCAGCGAGTTTTAGTATTCAATTTTACGAGGAGAAAATCAGGATGCCAGAGGGTGCTGCATACATGTTTCACGCTAGTGTTCACAAAGTTCATATTAAGGAGGAACGCGCGAAGATGAGAAGGAATGCAAAAGGGAAAAGGAAGGCACGAGTGCAACCTGACGACGAAGACAAAGAAAATATTCATACTCTAGAGTAACTTAAACAGATGGTCGCTTATTATTTTCTACTACTTAATACCGTTGGCAGCGCCAGGGCTCCGGGGGACAGGAACGCCGCAAGGTGCTTCTTGATGTTTATTTGAATTTGTTTGTTGATACTTGAACCAAACTTAGACCGAATTTCATTAATCAGATATATTCCCTGTCTGCTATAGTCCGAGTCTAGTCACGATTTGATTTATCGCCAGACCCTTCCAGCAATCGCCAGCTGATGCTGACATATCGGTGAGCGATTGAACAGTTTAAAGAAGGTCGGTTGGGCATTTATCACTATGACATGTTGAACTGGGCATGGCGTGGGCCTCTAGTTATATATAACTAGCAATGCAGTGTATCAAGACAGAGACCTGGTGCAGTGATACCTTACTCAGGTTGTTCACTGATATTTTTCGGGACTATGCTCCCACCAAGTAGCTGCCAGGTACCAAATACGGCAGGGTTGCTTTTAAACACCGCCGACTTATATAATCAGACGGAACGATTGTAGTCAAACATGACTGAACTATGGCTAGCATCCCATATACCAGCATCCGCGAAGTTCTTAGAGCGCCTTCAATGAACACTCACAGAGGATCCAGTCCTGATCTTCACCATGTAGCACGTATGGCTGACCATATCCTGGCTAAATCCATGTTGCCAGACAGCTCCGAGCCATCCGAATCGGACGAGGTGACTGACTCAGAGACTCCCAGTAATCCGAGTCCCCATGATATACTCCTAGACTCCATCACGCATCGACATCATGACTCCGATGTCCCATTGTATGCACCTCCATCTCTTCCCTCCGTAACCCGCCACATGCCTTGTTATGCAATGCGCTCGGCCAAAAGATTCCGGCCTGCAACGTCGTGTCATGATACTCCCAGTGCACTAGAGCTCCGATTTGTTGAAAGACATCTAGGAAAGTACTCTGGTGAGACTGATATGAGTATGATAGATGTCCAGAAGGTATTCTAGCTTAATTTTGACCACAGACCATCTTATGTTGACAGGCATTACAATAGGGTTTCGATGTCTTCAATCGTGGCATTGATGCTTTGCCTGACAGCGCCGTCCGTGCAGCTGTCCTCGCAAAGCGATCTGATCGCGAATCTAGGCGCTTGCGAGCTCTCACAACAGCTTGGGAACTCGAAACAACCGAACGACATGCTATTCTTCTCCAAACGCTTCTGTTGAATGACGCCAAGAAGTACGCTGAGAGCATAGCGGAAGCTTCCTTCTTCGAGAAGCTTTTGGTCAAACGTAGTAGGAACCAACTCGAAGATGACGCAGACTTTGGTATTGCTGCATATACTCATGATTTCACAGAATATACTGTTGCAGAGCGCCAACTTGAACAACTGGAGGATGTTGCCGATAAGCGTAACTTGTCTCTACCCTTCGATGATCCAACTCCTGAAGATCGCTTGAAGACATGCTTGGACACCATTCTTACAGATAGTATGGATGGTCCTATGTCCCAGTTGGCTGTCTGAGGTAAGTGATTCATTGAATTTTTGCAGATGCCACAATACTGACCGTGTTGCGAATGACAGTACATACCATTTCACTTGTGTTCTTGACGTTGCAAACATTCCCAGATCGATCCATGGTAGATGTAAATATGTACAAAATGTCATGACTGGTGCAGTATGCGGCCACGGCAGTTTAAGTTGAAGAAGAAGCGAGATGGGATTAAGATTATCACTGTATCAACTACTACTAGTAACTCATTTGTTTGACTAGCGTACTAGTATTGAAGTCACTAATGTGACTGATCTTGAAGTTCTTCCTGCATTCCGACCTTAGAATGACTTGAAGTGCAAGTTGCAAATGATTGAGGCGCGGCTGTGCTGCTGAGCAGTGACTCTGCGGCTGGAGTCGAACCTTATTACTACTACTAGTACGGAGCCCACCGTACGTTCATTAGTAGCGACTCGAGTCCGCTAAACAGCTGTTCGGCGAATGCGCAAAAAACTAATTCTATGGCCCGGTCTCATTCTTCTTTGGCTCTCAGTCATTTACTACTATTCGTCGATGGTGGCATCTCAGGCTTGCAAAGCTTCAGGCTGCTCCTGGGAGAAAGCAACCGACAGTCGAGGGCTTAGCAGGCATCGTGCAACCTGCCAATCCTACAACAAATACAAAGTTCTAGCCAGTCAGAAAAGACATGAGAGAGCAAAGGAGGCAGCCAGATCTCCACTGACTCGGAACGGTTTCATGGTGCAGCGAACAGTTGCCAATTCATCAGAAGGCTTATCTTGCGGCAGTTCCAACTCGTTGGTGAGGAGCCTTTTCTGTCTCACCATGCAATTATAACAGGTTAGCGATTGAAAACATATATCTAGAACACTACCGTATTGCAGCCTATTCAGCATGTGCCAGAGGGCCACAGTGACCGCTCAAAGCCCATTGCCTCATGTAAACCGTCCATCAGGTACAAGATTCAGGTTGGCCATAGAAGACCGTCTTCTAGCGCAGCGGAAAGTCATGGGCACTTCCGGCAAACTTCGCAGCAGCAGCTTAATATGGCTGATAGCTTCGACGACACAGAACCCGAGATCGATCAACATGCTCAGTTGGGTACTACTAGTAAGTTTCCTGGCAGCGGTGTGTTCCCGAAGTCTACTGATCCTTTTTTTAAAATAATTTTCCTAGGAGAAGAACATTCGCACCATCGGCCAGTGAGACGGATACCCAAGCCCTATGAGGATATCTCTCTTCCTGAGGAGGACGTCAATATCTCCGATCATGTTGATCATAGCACTCGAAATGTTGCCCCGCCTCAATCCAGAATAAGGAGAGTTCTACTGACATTACGAGACACACTTCAGACTCCCTTCAATTCTCTTGGACTCGGTCGATTGTACCCCCGCCGCCCATCCTTCGAACCAGATAAATTCGTCCCATCCCAGCTACTTTCGACAATGTGTCCAACTATGACGCAGGAGACTGATTCACCTGGTATCCTCCCGCCTCCTTACCCCTTTTCCAACATAACGATCTACCGGCTCATGTCTTGGATGAACTCAGGAAGCAACCAAAAATCCGAGACTGAAGTCGCCCGTCTCGTCAAGGAAGTAATGCTGGCGAAAGATTTTGACATAACGCACCTAGAGAACTTCTCGGTGAAGAGGAGTTTGTGAAAATTGGATGATGACCCCGGCAGCAGCAAGAATATCAAGTTTTCAGATGACTGGACCCAAGCCAATGTCACCATCGATATTCCTACGAAATTGGGTGAGGGCGATGCTAGATCTTTTTCTGTTCCAGGGTTCCATTTCCGTCCACTTGTTGAAGTGATCAAGTCGGCCTTCGCCGATATCCAAGCGAACGCATTCCATCTTTTACCTTTCAGGCGTTTATGGAAGGATCCGTTGGATGGTCACGAGGAGCGAATATATGACGAGTTGTACACGTCTGACTCGTGGTTAGATGCCCAAGACGAGCTGCAGAAGCTCCCGAGAGAGCCCGGGTGTTCGCTGGAACGAGTAATCGTGGGCCTGATGTTTTTTTCCGATGCCACACATCTGGCGAACTTCGGAACGGCGAAAGCCTGGCCGGTTTATATGTACTTTGGGAACTTGACCAAATATGCACGTTCTGCTCCGAAATCCAGTGCATGTCACATTGTAGGGTTTTTACCGTCGGTAAGTCTTCCTATTCTACATTCAAGCACCATTTGGCATTGCACACCAGCTGCCGGATAAGGTCAAAGATATCCTAAGCAGCTTGCCTCGCATATCGAAGAGTGGCATGGCCGCTCTTCACGCTCATTGCCGACGCGAGTTGTTCCACGCATGCTGGGATATCTTGCTAGATCAAGATTTTATTCAAGCATACCGCCATGGTATCATATTAAAGTGTGCCGATGGAGTGTTACGCAGGGTATTTCCTCGTATATTCACGTATTCAGCTGACTATCCTGAAAAGTACGTTATATTGATAAAGATTGGTGGATTACTCAAAAAATTTTAGGGTTTTAATTGCCACCATCAAAGACATGGGCTTGTGTCCCTGCCCGCGCTGTCTCACGCCGAAAAGTATGTTCAATTTTCTAGGCCTCCTTAAGGACATGAGGAGCCGTCTCAATAATCTCAGAGTCTATGTCGAGAGCAATATCTCCACGGCACGAGAATATATCTATAAGTGGGGAAATACAGTGGACGGTGTGAAAGTTGAAGAGACGCTTGGAGAGGGGTCCTGGGTACCTGTCATAGTGAGTGCACATTTTTCGTAGCTATGTCATATTAGCTCATGTGAGTAACCGGCAGAACAAATTTGTTGAGAAGCTCGGAGCGCTGCACCTCGACCCATTCCGGATGCTCGTCGTGGACTTCATGCACAAGTGCGAGTTGGGTACTTGGAAGGCTCTATATACTCACCTCATCAGGATTCTATATGCACTGCCAGGCGGAACCCAGCTAGTTGCAACCTTAGACTCCAGGTCGGCGTTTGTCCAGTGTTTCTACGTAACTTACCAGTAACAAATTCTATGACGCTGCAGATTTCGTCAGGTCCCAACTTTCGGTAGTGGGGTCATTCGAACCTTTGCAAACAATACATCCGAGATGAAGAGACTGGCCGCACGCGACTTTGAAGACATTTTGCAGGTTTTTTGCCTTTTAACTTTATCGTTATCTATGTAGCGTCCTGACGACCTCTACAGTGTGCAATACCAGCATTCGAAGGGCTGTTTCCTGCCAGTCATGACACGATCGTGCAGACTCTTTTGTATAGATTCGCTCAATGGCACGCACTTGCAAAGTTAAGAAATCATTCGGAGTCAACCCTTAATTTTTTCGAGGACACATTCAAAACCCTCTCTCGACAGTTGCAGAAATTCCGTGATTCTACGTGCGCCGCCTTTAACACTGTGGAATTACAAAGAGAAACGGCAGCTCGCCAATGAAGGTTGGCCCAGCGTGCCGAATCCAATAATCCTTCTTCAGAATCTAGTGGGCCAAAAGCGAAAAAGTTCAATTTAAACACTTATAAGTTTCATGCAATGGGTGACTACTGTGCGCACTATCAAGCTCTTCGGCACTACCGACTCTTTTACCACTCAGATCGTGCGTACTGTTCCCTAGCTCTCAAGAACACTGCGGAACTTATGTTACTGACCAGGGTGAACTGGCGCACAGAGCCTTGAAAGTGTTCTATCCATTAACGAGGAAGTTGGACACTCCAGGGCAGCTAGCAAAACACGAGCGCAGGCGTCGTGTGCTACAGCGAGTCAGGGAAGCAGCAAATATCACTTTGTCGGGCGACCAATCTCCAGCCGACTCACCCACTCCATGGTTTCCCTGAAGACCATCATTTTATCGCAAGTAGTCGAAATAATCCAGTTTTGCTGTTCGCATTCCTCCAGGAACACTGACGGCGACCCAGCTACCAAGGTAAAAATGACTTTGCACTTTTGGCGCGTTTTGTTTATGATGTTGATTTTCAGGATTTCATCCCGAAACTCAAGGACCATATTTTGTACAGGCTAAAGAAGTTGGATGTCTGTGATTGTGATCACACATTCACGGACGAGGAACGCAACACGGTTATTATACCTAACAATACGGTATATTCGGTCCAGACGATGAAGGTACACTACACTACTTACGACATGAGGCGCGAATATGATATTATCAACCCCCGCACACACGCAGATGTGATGGTGCTTTCTGGAGAAACCGCCCCTACCCATCCATACTGGTATGCTCGCGTACTCGGTATCTATCACATGGATACTTGGCTTGAAGGGTCTGGTGGTCGCATCAAAAAACAGCAGGTCGAGGTCTTCTATGTCCGATGGTTCGCACCATTAATACCGTCGGAATATCAGTCTGGCATACAGCACGCCCGCCTTCCCAAGGTGGCATTCGTGGAGGAGTCGGATCACGACGCATTCGGATTTCTTGATCCGGGTCAAGTGATCCGAGGAGCTCATTTAATCCCTTCATTCGCTTCGGGGCGCGGTGTGAGTGCGCTTCGGTACGGGAAATCTTTAGCACGTCCCAACGAAGAACAGGATGATTGGGAAGAGTATTATGTCGGGATGTGAGTGTAGTGCGTCTTCTTGTTGCTGAATGACTCTTACCTGTTAGAGCTACCAGTTTTGTTGACCGCGATATGTTCTTGCGCTATACTGACTTGGGCGTAGGACATCCAGTGGCTTTGCGGAGGACCGTTAGAGAATGTTTTGGCTCCTGGTTAGCAGCACCAGTGGAAGCTATGGACGTTGGTGAAGGCAGAAGCGATGGCGAGTGCGATGAAGAAGAGGGCGATGAACAACAGATGGACTGTGACGGTGATCTTTGCGAGGAGTCCGGAGACGAAAGTGATGGACTGGAGGGATCAGAATCGGAAGATGATACGGGAGAGTCTGACGATGACTCGTTCGATGATCTCTCTTTTTGATTTGTTAGGCTCATCGACTCGGAGTCCAAGTCCGACTCAGAAGCTTGTAATGTTCCTCACGGTGACCTGGGCCTCCGATAGTTAACGAAAAAGTTCTGGTTTTAAACATATAATATACCTACTTTATTAACCATGATGGCGATCGCGATTCAGACATCCTGCCACGTGATTAGCTGACAAGTCCGAGTCCTCCAAGTTTCTCTTTAATACCATACTTATACCCTTCCAGTGACCAATTCGGTACCTCAATGGTTCCCTCCATCGTTCTCCAGTCTGACACTCTCACTTGGGCCAGTCACTTGCTTTCCCGGGCCGTCCTTGACCGGTCAAGAAGAGGCGACTCTCACCTCCTTCCAAGGTTCAGGTGCGTATGGGACCGTCTGGTCATTCTGCATATCTTGGATCATTCCTTGTTAATGGTAAAAAGAAGCAACTCACCCTCAGTGCTATGTTGAAATCGCAGCCACCCAAAACGACTGAAGAAAGCTGACACCGTAGTTCGCCTTACAAATGACCTGTGGTTTCGGTGAGCATCATCTGCAAATGATGTAAGGGTGCTCACATATTTCAACCAGAGTTTGGCCGTCTTCCGCAACATGTTTCATCTTGGGTTTCAAGGCTTCTTGACTTCGGTACTTTATCTTCCATCTGAATTAGCCTTGCATTTACCACGGCGTTCAGGGATCGTCGACTTCAAGGGCAGCACAGCGGTGGACTGCCCAGCCACTCTACATTCTGGTGCAGACCTGATAGTCTCATTGTCTGTATATATCCGTGCATCTGCATTCAAACCACCGAGTACTTCCGCGGAGGGGGCACCGAAGGCGATGTTCAATCAGGGACAAGATACACAAGATGAACAAACTCTCAGAGAACGCAAATCTGCGCTACTCTCTCTCTTCGATGCTGTCAACCTCCGCCCTTGTAGGGGAGCCCGCGTCCAAGATAATGACAACATGATAAATGGATCTGATGGCATGAACAATAAACCGACGCAACATCCCGGCGATGCCAAGAAAAAGAGAGTTGAAATTGTTGGTGACGGCGAGGAAGTAGAAATAGAAGATGACGAGGAGTTATCTGACGTCATCTACAAGAAGCGGGTATCATTTTGTGATGTCAGGCTATCATATTGACAGTTCTCTAGAGCCCAGAAGCACTGATCGATCGATGGCTGAGATGGATTCTCCGGCACCTTTACATTAACACTAAGGGGATACCAGAAACAAGCGCTTATGTGGGCCGGAATATCATCGAATTTCTAATTCTCCCCTACTGACTCATACAAGGTGGATGCATTCAAGGGAATCAGGCGAAATGTCTGCTAGAGAAGCTGTGTCTATGCACCCTCTATGGAGCAAGTAAGTCCCCAAAACATGCTATAAGAACAGCGATCAACTGTTCTTATAGGTATGCTTTTCCTGCTGAACCTCGAGATGGTATAATCGATCTGACTGCAGACGAGAAGCCGTTCTACTTCAACCCTTACTCTGGAGAACTCAGTCTTGACTTTCCTAAGGCCGAACGCACACTCAAAGGAGGGATCCTCGCGTAAGTAGCAAGCACTCGTTGATTAATATATACTTATTCCCTGCCAGTGATGGTAAAGTGCAGTTCTCATCTGACGTTACCTTACTCATCAACAACAACTTTTCAATTTGGCACACCACGCAGGGAGTGCGTCCCTGTAACCTTTGTACAGTGTTCAGAGCTGATTCATTTATCTCAGTGGGAATGGGAAAAACCATTATGTTATCTGCTCTCATTCATACAAACCGAGATCCGGAACCTATTCTTCCTGACGATACTTCCAGGGATCTTGCACGCATTCGTCAGCTGAAACTTGACAATGCCTTTCGATCAAGAGCTCTCAGGCAAACAAATAAGCCTACCAAAGGCCCTTCTGCAACATTGATTGTTGCTCCTACCTCACTGCTCTCCCAGTGGCACGAGGAACTCCAGCGGTCGAGTGCACCAGGGACCCTCAAAATCAGTGTCTGGCACGGACAGAATAGGCTGGACCTGGACGGTATAGAAGATAATTCGATGGATGATGCGTCTATCACCGTGATTATTACATCCTACGGCGTACTTGCCTCCGAACACTCCAAACTGCTCAAGTCTGGTGGTCAATCTTCTATTTTCCAAGGTATGTCTCAGGGATCAACTGACGATTCCTCGATTAACGGCCTGTGAAGTGGAGTGGCTGCGAGTCATTTTGGACGAAGCTCATCACTGCAAGTCCAGGACAAGTAAGACCGCACGAGCTGTGTATGCTCTTCGTGCTAGACGTAGATGGGCCGTAACAGGTGATTACACTAATGTTTCTCATAATCCAGATGCTGAATTACGATCAGGAACTCCCATTGTCAATAAACTGGAGGACCTTCATTCGCTTCTGTGAGTAACAAAAGTATACATATACAATAGTTTAACTGATCTCGTATCAGCCAATTTCTGGAGTATACACATGGTCATCGTACTCATTCTTCCGCTCGTATGTGTCTATCCTTCTCTTGAATTTCCATTCTTCTCAAGACTGAAGCCATTTGCCAGTTTCATTGCTGTGCCATTCCTTCCTCGCGATCCCAAAGCAATAGAAATAGTGCAAGTAATCCTCGAGAGTGTCCTTCTCCGACGCGAGAAGAACATGCGTGATAACTCTGGCAAACACATCATCGAATTACCTGCGAAGGAAATCACTGTCGATACACTGCACTTTACACCTGCAGAACAAAAGATATACGACTCTATTTACAATGCAGCAAAGCGGAATTTCGATCAGCTCAACGCAAAAGGGCTCGTAGGCAAAAACTACACCCACATTCTGGCTATGATTATGAGGTGAGATTTTCGATGCCTGACGTATCTTAATCTTACCTCTTTTTCAAGACTGCGCCAGGCAGTGCTTCATCCAGATCTGGTCACTGATACTAGCGATGGGATAGTGACTAAACCTTCTGGACACTCCAAAGATGGAGCGATCGACATGGACACCCTGCTGAATGACATCTCAGAGGGTGATTCGGAGAGTGGCTTGAAAGCAGCCTATGCTGAGAGTGTTTTAGCCAACCTTGACATGTCCAATGATGCAGAATGCCCAATCTGCCTTGATGTGATGCAGACACCGTCCATCATCCCTCCCTGTATGCATCAATGGTGCGCATAATACTGTCCGTTTCATCTACCAATGCTAATGTTATAAACAGTTGCAAAGAATGCATTATATCATATCTTGCGACATGCACGGACAAGGGAGAGGTGCCACGATGCCCGACGTGCTCACATGGACCAGTCAAGGAGCAAGATCTCATTGAGGTTCCCCGGTCGTCTGGTCAAGGTAGCCCACACCAGGAGTCCACAGGGGACGAAAAAGAAGGGACGTCAACGTCAGAAGTCTTCCTGTGCCGAAATGATTTTAGATCATCCACGAAACTGGATGCGCTGGTACAAAACCTTAGTAGGTGTTCCTTTGCATAGTCCATTCCACTCTGAGCTAAGCTGATTCCAGGACGAATTCGAGATCAAGACCCATACTTCCGTGCTGTTGTCTTCTCGCAGTTTACGTCCTTCCTTTCGCTTATCTCTGTGGTGCTGGACCGTGAACGCCTGTCGTGGTACCGTTTTGATGGATCAATGGACCTCAAGAAGCGCAATGCTGCCATATCAGAATTCAAGCAGAACGAGCGGAAGCCCAAGGTTCTCATTGTCAGCTTGAAAGCAGGTGGCGTTGGTCTGAACGTAAGCGCAAGTCACTTGCCTCTTGAATCTCCTGAACGTTGCTTCAAACGATAGCTGACGAGCGCCAACCACGTTTTCATGGTTAGTCCCCGGAATTTGTCGCTCCATGCCACTGATGAATATTGCTCAGATGGACTGCTGGTGGAACGCGGCGACTGAAAATCAAGGTTGGTGTCCGGGTATTCGTCTATAGTTGATCGTACTGATTTTGGTGACAGCCATCGATCGCGTGCACCGAATAGGCCAAGAGAAAACCGTCTATGTCAAACGCTTTATAGTGAGCTTGTCTCAATCTCTGTTCACCATATCCATTAAACCTTCTTCGAGGTCGATCACACCATCGAAGGCCGCATACTCCAGATCCAAAAACGCAAGACCGCCATCGTCAAAGAGGCATTCCGAGGGAGCGATAGATCGGGCAAAGTAGACCCGGAGAGTCTCGAGAATCTGAAAGTTATATTTGGTGATGATTAATAACAGCTCTTGTATAAATGGTGCTTCTCTTCGAATGGCATCGAACTAGATGTAAGTCTACGGAACGAGCAATTTTTAAAGGATCAATCAAAATGGACTTCGACAGGAACTTTGTAACCCACGATCCGGACGCAGGCAGCTGCTCTGTAAAACTCTCTGGCTTGTTATTATGTCGTCGATCTCGCTTGCCATTCAGTGTCTTCAACATCAAGGACCCTCTCAGGGCCAACTCGCGTCATCATCTTGTTGGGCTAGCCGCCGCTTCCGAAAGTTGCCTCCGTCCCGATCAAAGAGAAGTGTTTTCATTGTTCCTTGAACTATCCTGAAAAGGTTCGAGAAACCACCAAGAAACAGTATGTTAGAAAGACCCTGTCGCGCCTAGCTAATGACGTTCCTTAGACTATCCTAAAAAGGCCAACTTCCACAACTTGTTTGGGAATTCCAATCAATACGGATTCGTCTTTCATTAGGTCATCGGTACAGACATCGTGCACATATAAGACAACCTCATAGAAGGCTTTCGCCCTCGTCCAACTTACTGCAGCCCTCCTCTTTCTGACTTCGAACTCGGGTATGACGGAATCGGGGAACAGTTCGGGCAGCCCTCGGGCTCAGGAAACTTCCCTGTGTATCCCGACGTCTCTGCATGCTAGAGCGAAGCGAAGAATCGCCGTTCTTGAGGAGGAAGTCGAAATTTTGAAACAGGACAAGGTAACAAAGCAAAGGTATACATCCTCTCGAATTCTCCAGGTGATTTTAACTCCCCATCGCAGGAAGACAACCTATTACGTCTCACAGGGACGAGCAATCCGCCGTATGGTTGCCCTTTATACTCCCATAGAAGACCTTATCGCCGAAAATGACCGGCATTGTGAAGATGGCGACAGTGACGCTACTATCGAGTAAGGACTCGGGTTTGATTGTGTTCGTCACGACGGTACTGATTTTGTTGACGACCATGCACAGACAAGACCGCCACCAACGTGGCTACATCGAACTCAGCAAGACGTTACCATGGATTCACCAGAAGCTGACGAGTCTCGACCACGAGGAGTCGGAGGATATGCTCAGAAAGGGTGGTCCTCAGCATCTTTCTTATATCCCCTATTCATCTTCCATGTAGCTCAAACGAGGCGTGGACTCAGCTCGTGGTGACGACACGGGTACTCTCAAGGAACTTGTGGCATCGTGGGTGAATATTGACTGTCATCCAACTCCGCTCATTAGGACCGACGACAAGCACCACCGAGGCTTCGTTAATGATGCATGCGGTCGCATGCTCTGTCCAGCGGAATGGCGTTGGGACGACCCAGTGTAAGCAATAATTCTCATTCTTAACTGTTGCTGATAATTTGTCCAGCGTCAGGGCTGGGATTCGTGACCGTACCACTGCATACATCGTCTCTGAGAACTCATGGCCGTTGTTCATGTATGAAGGCTATGAAGCTTCCGTCAAGAATCTCGAGCGCGGTCTCATGAAGTCAAAATTGTTAGTTATGGTACGTGACATTTTTCCCAATTGAATCATAGCTCATCGCATCATAGGGATTCAAGGCCATCTTTACTTCTCCGTCCTCTGCTAATGAGGCAGATGGTGATGGTGACGGCGCTGATATCCTCGAGAACAACCGACGCGCCAAGAGATGATCGGACCAAGCAAGAGTCAAGACTTGTGTCGCCTCTATCATAGGTATGAGGAAGGTGACTCCCCGCGCGATTGCCTACACTGCTTGCCAAGTACGCTCCGATTCTTGCCTCTGACTATGAATTTGACATTATTTCTGCTGGTCCGATTTGCTCTTTCAAACATCACCTCCTGGCGCACTGTAGATGCAGACTTCGATTATCAACTGTTCTGGAATAACATCGTAGATTTCTTTGAAGATCCGCCAGGTCCAGCCGCGCGAGCTAGGGTACATGCGCTCCTGGAGTGGTGGACAAGGCAAGTATCTGACTGTTAACAACTCGCTAGATTCGCTAACGTCCCGTGTAGGAAAGTTTTTGGAAGAAATCACCGGCAGGACCTGACACTAGATGTCATTTCCCAAATGTCCGTCAGTGCTCTTGCTGCCCAGAGACTGGAGATGGAGGCGGCCGCATTTGACTCTGATTAGTTCTAGAACATTTGTTACATTTTTATTAATTACACTCTCATGTCTGGTCTTACAATTAATATCATGGTAGTGTTAATGTGCCATTAGAGCTATCTTGAAACATTGTTAGATCTGCCGTGTAATGCATAGCTTCGACCCTCGTCGTCTCCTCAAAATTCATGATCCATAAATGATCATGTCTCCACCAAACACATTCGAGATGTCACGTGTCTGAGCGACGCACTAATGCATATTATATCCTCGAAACACGCGGACCGTGATGTCCCTGCCGAACAAATTCGAGGTGTTGTGTGTTCGAGCGACGCACTAATGAATATTATGTCCTCGAAACACGCGGACCGTGAAGTCCCTGCCAAACAAATTCGAGGTGTTGTGTGTTCGAGCGACGCACTAATGAATATTATGTCCTCGAAACACGCGGACCGTGAAGTCCCTGCCGAACAAATTCGAGGTATTGTGTGTTCGAGCGACGCACTAATGAATATTATGTCCTCGAAACACGCGGACCGTGAAGTCCCTGCCGAACAAATTCGAGGTGTTGTGTGTTCGAGCGACGCACTAATGAATATTATGTCCTCGAAACACGCGGACCGTGAAGTCCCTGCCGAACAAATTCGAGGTATTGTGTGTTCGAGCGACGCACTAATGAATATTATGTCCTCGAAACACGCGGACCGTGATGTCCCTGCCGAACAAATTCAAGGTATTGTGTGTTCGAGCAATGTACTAATGAATATTATGTTCTCGAAACACACGGACTGTGATGTCCCTGCCAAACAAATTCAAGGTAGCACGTGTCTGCGCGACGCACCAATGAACAACATCTCTTCGAAAGACGTTGATGCTTATATCCCTGCCGAACACATGCAAGATATTGCGTGTCTGAGCAACGCTGCAATGAACGTCATGTCTCCGAAAGAGTCTGAGCAACGCACCAATGAACGTCATGTCCTCAAAAGGCACAGACCGTTATGTTCCTGCCAAACAAATTCGAGATATTGCGTGTCTGAGCAACGCACCAATGAACGTTATGTCCTCAAAAGACTCAGACCGTCATGTCCCTGCCAAACAAATTCAAGACATCGTGTGTCTGAGCGATGCATCAACAACTGTCGTGTCCTCAAAACACACGGACTGTCATGTCCCTGCTGAACAAATTCAAAGTATTGCGTGTCCAAGCGACACACCAATGAATGTTATGCCCTCGAAAGACACGAACCGTCATGTCCCTCCCGAACACACTCAAAGTATTGCGTGTCTGAATGACGCACCAATGAACGACATCTCCTCAAAAGACACTAATCGCTATTGTCCCTGCCGAACACATTCAAGATATCGTGTGTCTGAGCGACGCTGCAATGAACGTCGTGTCCTCGAAAGACACGTATCACTATGTTCCTGCCGATTGTTCGGCTTTGTAATGTCAATTGAACATACTATTCGCATCTGCCAATGCTGATCAGAATGCCCCGACTTGCTCTGCAAGGACACTCCGAAAACCCCGTGCCTTGATGTATATTGGCACACAGTCTGTGCTCAATAAAATATACTATTTTGACTGACAGTTCGACCAATAATTGTGCAATATGCACGACTCTACTGTTATTGTCTTGTTGCAACACAGACTCGTGCTTTTTATGCTCGAGCAACTTGCTTTTATGTGATGCTCATTTTGAGCTAGGAAAACGTATCGTGTGAAGACCAGATGATATACATCTGTACCACAGGGAACTTCACCAAAGTGTGTTTCGTTTTAGCACATTGAAACCTCCTTCGGTGACACTCTCAGTCTCGGTCTGTATTCAATTTCATGAACTTGTGCGCGTTAATTTTTTTGTCGATCCATCTAAGTACAAAAGCTCGCAAAGCAAATAGTACTATTGGGTTAAGGTGCTTGCAAATTCGTCTTTCCTCGATAAAGCCAGATATTCCCATGTGAAAGTGGTCAGCAGATTTACGACGATTGTTGCGATGTTTCACAATATATTGCTTTACATAGTATTCTCATTTGTTCACCGGTCCACTGATGTCAATAATGTACTCTCTAATGCTAGTTTTATCGTGTTGCTCCCATGTCTGCATGGTGACTGAATTTGCCGTCTATAATCACCGCGTCGAATACTCTTTGCTGCACTGCATTCAGTGCAGTCCTACATTTACACTGTACCATAAGCTACTAATATTATCGATATCAAAACATTTGTCTTTAAATCCGTATATCTAACAGCGCGTCGCGAGCTGTCAATAAGTCTCTTCTGCTCGTTTAATTGGCTATGACAAGACACCTTCGCAAGTGGTGATTTTAACAAATCTATTTATTTTGTAGATGACTGGAAAAAAATGTGCGGTATTGCCCATCAGTTTCCAAAAGTTCTTATTTCTGTAAATACACGAGATGTTCGTTGAATAATGAGGGAAACATCGATGCGAAGCATGACTCACTGCTGTCAACTCGCGAGCCCAGGTACTGAGTCACAGAGGCACGACGCCTGTCGCAAGTGAAGCGATATAACTGGTACGGGGCGAAATACACAAGATGTTCGTTGAATAATAAGGGAAATATCGATGCGAAGCATGACTCACTGCTGTCAACTCGCGAGGCCAGGTACTGAGTCGCTGCAGATACATAGAATGGTAATTGTCCAATTAATGACGAACATTGAAAATTCCAAACAAAATGTCGTGAAGTCAAAGCGGGACAAACGTTTGATTCATCTCTCGCATATTGAACACATCCGCTGCTACCGCAAAGGTAACACTTTTTCGCACGGATTCCCAATCTACATCTAGCAGACAAGAATCCAACACCTTGAACGTTGCTTTGCCCGTGGGACTTGTGTTCACCTAGCTCGAGCATTATCTTCGCATGTAATCGATGTGTTGTTGCTAGTCGGCCAACACTTTATCGTTTTTCTTCACCTAAAGGCTAAAAGCATTCAAATAGTGAAGATGACGATAATTGTGTGAGATTACAGTTTAGCACTGCCACGCCGCATGCTTGCAGCGTTACACCGAGGTTCGAATGATCGCCAAACGCGGTCACAACCGCAAATTCTGTGCACTCGATCAAAAATGTACGCTTTTGATTTTGTCCCAAGGGATGACCTGATGCAGTATTGTGTTCCAGTAAGTCTCCATTGCACAATAATATTGCTTTTCAGCGACAGACTGGGAAATCTATGCATTGAGAAAGCGTGTGTACTCTCACATACCTCGGAACTGTATTTGCGCTCCGTATAATGCATGGTTCTGTGCAACAGTTTACCAACAAACATTTTGCGTGCGCGACTCCGGTCCTTCTATGTCATTGCAACTCGGCGTCCATCGAGCAGTGATACCTACTTTGACACGACTCAGGACATTGTCACTATTCTATGCAATATACCACTCAAAGCGACACTCATCGAACATTCGGTCAATACAGACAAACTTTTCGTTGAGAATTGATGTCTACTGTTACTCACACTTTTTACCAGAGCAAGTTACTCGCCCATTCGGTAGTCATCCGCAGCGAGCAAAAATATATTGTGCAAAGACCAAATGACACCGTTCTCTTCACTGATGAGCATCGCCTGAGTGTCTCGTAGTTCTGCATGCTGCAACCTCCTTCCTTGTCCTTCTCAAACCAGGCTCATATTCCAATGCATGAACCTGTGCGAGTACATTGTCTCCTAGACCCGTGCCAGTGAAAAAGTCCTCGAGGCAAATAGGGCTACCAGGCCCGTGTACTTGCAAATTAGTCTTTCCTCGACAATGCCAAACATTCCCATGTGAAAGCGGTTGGCAAATTTACGCTGATTGTTGCGATGCTTAACAATATATTACTTTAAATATCATTCTCATTTGTTCACAGGTTCTCTGATGCGCAGCCTGGGCGTCTCGTCTGGCTTGTTCTTCAGGCGTGGGAGTCACCAGAGCCTCAATGCTTTCTTTCAACTTGCGTTCAGCCTCCTCCTTGGCAGCATTGGCCGCCTTTACTTGCTCTTCTGCCACTTTATTAGACACATTGGCCGCCTCCTGGACGGCAGCTGTGTTGAGAGCCGATGTGTCCGAGGGAAGTAAGGCCGAGAGAGAGAGAGCTGAGAAAGGAAAGGACGATACGGCCGAAGAATAGAGCACATCGAGTGCGAGCGTCTCCAAACGGAGAACGTCGACCACGTGTCAACGTCGGCAATCTTTTCGTTCTTTAAGTATATATTTTTCATCAAAGCTATTGCTGGCAGACTCACCGTATAAGAGGACGCTGTTTTCGTCGAAACGTCTCAGATTCGAAACGAATACTGAGACGTAAGTACAAGTCCCACTGTAACGTTCGAGCGCAAGCGCTGACGTACATCTAGTCGTACCTTTGTTCTAGGTACAAACAATTGTTAATAGAGATTCGAAACAAATACTGAGACTCGTACCTTTGTTCTAGCGTGTCGTAAAACCTCCCGCGTGTATCGTTCCTCCACAGGTTATGAGCCCTGTCTCCTCCATGGACTTGTCGACTCCCAGCACCAATTCAAACCTTTTTAACATCCCGAAGCTCGCCGAAGATGGCTCGAACTGGATAACCTACAAGGAAAGGACGTTAACGGCTATAGGTGCACGAGGACTTACGAGATATACCGATGGACGAGCTAAAGAGCCTACGCCTTTCGTAAAGAGCTCTACGGGGGCCGTTACGAAGCCGGATGGTACAACACCTACGCAGAAAGAAATCGATGAGCTCGACGCAAAGACCGATGAGTATCAACAAAAGAACTCACTCGTAAAACAGCAAATATTTTGCACGATCACAGATCGGCTGCTGTTACGTGTCCAAAAGTTAGCATCCGCGTCCGAAATCTGGAAGGAAATATGCCACATACATGAAGGCAAAACCGAACTCGTCCAGATAGATCTGAGACGGAGGCTCCAGGAGACGAGGTGCGAAGAAGGTGGTGACGTCAAGGCTCATTTTTCAGAGCTTTTGCGCCTGAGGGAGTCGTTAGCTGGAATGGGGGTAGCCGTCATTGATACGGACTTTCATGCCATCATCCTAGGGTCCTTACCTGAATCCTACCGGCCGCTACTGTCGTCGATGAACGCAGCGGCCAAGATAACGAAAACTCCCCTCTCGCCCTACGAACTCATCACCATCATCACAGAGGAATACGAGCACCGGTTACTCACCGAACGACGTCCCAACAAACGCGGGACCAACAGTGCGCTCTCCGCGAGAACAAATGCAGGGAGGAGCACGAGCTCGCAGAGCTCGGCTCCAAAATCCAACCCCGACGCAGTCTGTACGAACTGCGATCGTAAGGGCCACTGGAAGAGTGACTGTTGGCGAAAAGGTGGAGGAAAAGAAGGTCAGGGGCCGAATCAACGGCAGAGACAAGGAGGACGCACCCAAAAACAAAGTGCCAATGTAGCCAAAGAGACGGAGCCAAAGGACAACTACGCTTTCGCTACGTCAGACCTCGCAGTCATAGCAAAATCGATGGACGTACCTCCAGAGCGCCGAGGAGCAATAGTAGACTCCGGCGCGACCTCTCATTTCTGCCCGGATAGGGCAAAATTTGTATCCTTCGTCGAGATCGCCCCGCAGAAGATATACACTGCGAATGGAGCTACTGTCAATGCGACAGGACGAGGAGACGTGAGGATGGACTTACCGTTGGGCTCGAAACGAACGACCGTGACGCTAAAAGACGTCCTATATGCCCCCTCCATGGCATTTACCCTTATCTCCACCAATAAGATCGCCTCCGCCGGTTTGGCCGTGCTGTTCGAAGGAGGAATGTGCAGGATACTGTCTGCTCCCCCCGAACGAAGGACGATCGCAGAAATACCCCAAGTCCAGGGACTTTACGCTGTAACGTCCGACCGTAAGCATCGTGCCAACGTCGCCAGGACAAAGCTTACCATCAATGATGTCCATCGTGCCCTAGGGCACGTATCACATGCGGCCCTTCTTGACGCAGTCAAGAAGGGCCTAATCCTGGGCATAGACATAGATCCGGCGCCCGCCATCCAGTTCTGTGAAGTCTGCGTGAAAGCTAAGTCAGCTCAGCAGTCCTTCCCAAGAGAAACGAAGATGCGCGCACTTACATACGGAGAACTAGTCCATACGGACCTCTGGGGACCGGCGCAGACGACGAGTTTGGGAGGCTGTAAATATTATGTCAGTTTCACGGACGACTTTAGCCGGCAGACGCGACTCGAGTTCCTCAAACAAAAGAGTGACGCACTTACCGCGTTCAAGTCCTATGAGGCATGGGTGGCCCGTCAATCACCAGGTGTGCGCGTGCGCAAAATCCGTTCGGACAGAGGAGGAGAGTATCTGAGCGCCGAGTTCGATCAATACTTGCGTCAGCAAGGTATAGAGCGGCAGCTAACAGTGCACGACTCACCCCAACAGAATGGTGTCGCCGAACGACTCAACCGGACACTCGTCGAGCATGCGAGAGCAATGCTCCTAGGCAGAGATATGCCAAAGTACCTGTGGGCCGAGGCCGTTAGTTACGCCACTTGGCTCAAGAATCGCCTACCTTCAAGGGCGATCCCAGGTAGCACGCCCTACGAGTTGGTGCGCAAGTCCAAGCCGGACTTGTCGCAGGCCCATGAATTTGGGGCCAGGGTCTTCGTCCATATGCTGGAGGCTGGTAAGCTGGAGGCGAGGGCGGAGGAGGCAGTTTTTGTGGGGGTAGACGCTGAAAGTAAAGGATACCGGGTGTATTGGCCCGGCAGACGGCGTGTCTCGGTGGAGAGGAATGTGACCTTCACGCCGATCCTGGCAGCCGATGGTATGCCGGACGAGGGGGAGTCTGCTGTAGTCAACGAACATAACAGCGGCAACGGTAATAATAACTCACCTAGTAGCGTCCAGCCCATCACCATGCCACAGCAACCTCAACCTTCTACTCCTAAGCAACCCCAACCATCTACTCCTCAGCAACCTCAACCTTCTACTCCTAAGCAACCTCAACCATCTACTCCTCAGCAACCTCAACCGTCTACTGCCCAGCAACCTCAACCATCTACTCCTGAAGCGAGGTCGACGAGGGTAAGACCACCCCCAGGGTACTATGCGGCGCTGAATGAGGGCCAAACGGCAGCCCTAACCATGGAAAGCCTGTTGGAAGCGTCAGAACTCGACCTCTTGGATGAAGAGGCGCATATTCACCTAGCATTGGCCGCCGTCCAACCAGAACCGACCCTCCAACAAGCCTTGAAGGGCCCAGACGCTGCAGAGTGGCAAGAAGCCATCAATTACGAAGTCAGTCAACTCGAGAAGCTAGGTACGTGGGAAATCGTAGACGCACCTCGAGGCGTAAACCTTATCCCATGCCATTACGTCCTGGCCACAAAGCGCGGGCCGGACGGCGAGAAGCTGAAGCTTCGCGCGCGCCTAGTTGCAAATGGGCAGCGCCAGAAGTACGGGGTCGATTTCTTCGAAACCTTCGCCCCCACGGCCAATATGAGCACAATACGTGCAGTCCTAACGATGGCTGCTCAGCACGACTGGGAAATACACCAAGTCGATATTAAAAGTGCGTACCTATATGCGAGTCTGCAGGAGGACATATATATGCGAGCGCCCCCTGGATACTTGAAGGATGGTCAGGAAGGGAAGGTACTGAAGCTGAAAAGAAGCTTACCTGGACTCAAACAAGCAGGATATGAGTGGGCGCAGGAGCTAGCTGGAGCCTTCAATGAAATGGGCTTCAGCAGGTCAAAAGTAGATCAAGCCGTTTTCTACAAACGCACCTCGCGCGAACACGTCGTCATCACCGTCTCTGTCGACGACATGGCCGTCACCGCCAACCATATATCCCATATCCATCGGTTTAAGTCCGAGCTGCGCGCGCACTTCGAGATTAGCGACCTAGGGGAGTTGAGCTGGTTATTGGGGCTGAAGGTGACGAGGGACCGCGTAGCACGCACCTTGACACTTTCACAGAAGGCATACGTCGAGACGATCCTCGAAAGGTTCCACCTGGAGGACGCGAAGGTCCTGCACACGCCCATGGAACCAGGTACTGTCCTTTCCATAGATCAGTCCCCTGCAACACACGCCGAACTCCAAGCTATGCGAGACATACCATATCAACGCGCGATCGGTTCGTTAATGTACGCAGCTACGAGTACCCGGCCAGATATCGCTTTTGCGGTGGCAACACTGTCGCAATTTATGAGGAATCCGGGGAGACCCCATTGGGAGGCCACCAAACGCGCCCTGCGGTACCTGAAAGGCACCGCAGACTATGAGCTGACGTTGGGATCCAGCGAGGGAGGAATTGAGGCGTTTGTCGATGCCGATTGGGCATCGCAGCCACATAGGCACTCCATGAGCGGGTACATCGTACTGCTCCATGGAGGCCCCGTTTCGTGGAGCGCGCGCAAACAGCCTATCATAGCCCTGTCAACAGCTGAAGCTGAGTACATAGCGTTGACCAGCGTGGCAAGGGAAGTACTTTACCTGCAACTCCTCATCCGCGAGCTCTACGACGTCCAAGACCTCCCCACACCCATCTTCTGCGACAACCAAGCTGCTATAGCGTTAGTCTCGACGGGAAAATTCCAATCGCGCACCAAGCACATAGACCTGCGATACCACTTCGTACGCGGCCACGTGAAGGACGGTACCTTCAAGATAATCTACTGCCCCAGTGACGACAATGTCGCGGACGCGTTCACGAAGCCATTGGCACGTCCCCGACTCCAGAGGTTGAGGACATTGATGTGTTTGGATAACGCTCGAGGGGGAGTGTTGAGAGCCGATGTGTCCGAGGGAAGTAAGGCCGAGAGAGAGAGAGCTGAGAAAGGAAAGGACGATACGGCCGAAGAATAGAGCACATCGAGTGCGAGCGTCTCCAAACGGAGAACGTCGACGACGTGTCAACGTCGGCAATCTTTTCGTTCTTTAAGTATATATTTTTCATCAAAGCTATTGCTGGCAGACTCACCGTATAAGAGGACGCTGTTTTCGTCGAAACGTCTCAGATTCGAAACGAATACTGAGACGTAAGTACAAGTCCCACTGTAACGTTCGAGCGCAAGCGCTGACGTACATCTAGTCGTACCTTTGTTCTAGGTACAAACAATTGTTAATAGAGATTCGAAACGAATACTGAGACTCGTACCTTTGTTCTAGCGTGTCGTAAAACCTCCCGCGTGTATCGTTCCTCCACAAGCTGCCCTCCTCCTCTCCTCATCAACAGCCTCCTGCAGTCTCTTTGCCTGCTCCTGGGCAGCCTGGACATCTCGTTTGGCTTGTTCTTGTATGGCGGCAGTTCGCTTACGCTCTTCCTCTGCTTGCGCTGCTTTTTGTTTGGCTTCTTCAACAGCGGCACGAGCAGCAGCTTCTGCCAGTAAGCAAGCTGTGTTGGCGGCACGTTCGGCCTGGACCATCGCCATGATCTCCTTATGGGCCTGCTCCTGCGAGGCTGCCGCAGCTTGCAAAGCGGCCAGCCGAGCTGCCATAACCTTTTCCTGTAATTCTTGATTCAACCTGCGGAGCTCGGTGATAACCTCCTCCTTAGCAGCATTGGCCGCCTTTACTTGCTCTTCTGCCATTTTCTTAGACACGTTGGCCGCCTCCTGGACGACAGTTGCCCTCCTCCTCTCCTCATCAACAGCCTCCTGCAGTCTCTTTGCCTGCTCCTGGGCAGCCTGGACATCTCGTTTGGCTTGTTCTTGGACAGCGGCTGTTCGCTTAAGCTCCTCCTCTGCTTCAACTGCTCTCTGTTTTGTTTCTTCACTGGCAGTACGAGCAGCAGCTTCCGCCCGTAAGCGAGCTTCATTGGCAGCACGTTCGGCTTTGGCCATTGCTTCTATTTCCTTTCGGACCTGATCCTTTGTGGCCGCCGCAGCTTGAAAAGCTGCCTCGGCCTCTTCCTGTAATTTTTGATTCAACCTGTTGAGCTCGGCTATTTCCTCTCTGGCAGCCTCAGCATTCTTCTGGGAATACGCAGCAGCTGCCTCTGCGTCCTGGCGCACTTCCATCTCCTCGAGGGATAGATTGGGCTCTTCTGGTCGACTTGCATAAGATCCCATCTGTTCGACAATGGTAATGCGTGGCCCTGCTAATAACGAGGTCGCATGATGCTCCCATCTCTTGAGCCGAGAAAACTTACTGATATGCGTATGTTTTGAAAAGAAAATCAGCTAATAGTAGTGCTTAGAGTAAGTTTTGTGGATTTCAATCGAGAACGAATAACAGATCTTAGACCATAGAATACAATTTGAGGCATTTTATATTGTCCCGCGTGCAGACCAAGAGAACGACGGAATGCGGCTAACCCAGGGCTATGGGTTCGCGTGAAGTGTGACCTGAAGGCAATGAAGTCATAGAACGGAATTAGATGAACGGAGGACGTTCTGTGCATGAACGTAGGGAATGAGTTACGAGATCGTGTGTTGAATGATTGTATATGACCAAAATGTACATGGAAATTAAACACGTTAACATGGTATGTGGTGTGTGTGATATGTATCAGCTATTGACCGCGACGTTGGGTTGTCAGTACAACGTCCGTCCGTGACGGTCCGTCAGATTCACTACCAGATAGATACTGCCCTGTCTGTAGTCTACCTATCAGATCTCTGCAAGATATTGTAGTAGCATACTTATATGCAGTACCGGGCGGGGCCGCAGTAGACATAATAGGAGTACTATAGTAGTGAAGAACAAAAAGACATTAAAAAGGACTTGATGCGTGAACAGAATGCTGCCAGGCACCAAAGAGAGCACTGTCACCTGATGGGTGCTCCGTGAAGGATAGCCAAATATCGATGAAGTTTGTGACTGTCGCAGAGAAGATATAGCGTATTCTGAATGGCCACGATGAATCGTTGATGATCCTGATAGGAGGCCGTGCTGCAGGAAGGTGTACTATAGTTAGAACACTGCTCAGGCTAGGTTTCATCTAACACATTACACAGTCGACCGAGACGATAATAGTCCCCCAGTGCCTAAGTTCACCTGAATGTTAAAGTAGAACCATTATACTCGATCATTTGGACCACACACCTTAAGCCCCCAATCCTCCTCGTTGTTAGGGCGTATGGAGTTACCATCTGAAGGAGGTTTGATTAGACGAATGGACTTGAATGAGGAAGGGCTTCGTCGGATCCTGGAACAACGCCGGCATACAATCACATTACCGGATCTCTCGAGTCTTGAGCTCCCTCACCGGGTTACTGGCAAATCTCTGACCATCGAACCTATAGTAGTCATTAGTAAGCGGTAGTAAGAACACGCGGAGGAGTAATAATATCAGCACAGAGGAAGAAACATGGGAAGAAGGTACTGTATGTGCAAATCTGCGGTCAAGATCGGTCACAAGCGGTATGGTCATGGCGAGAACGGATCAACATCAGCATTGGTAAGAGCCCGAAGGAAGCAATATAATGACTTAAAGATCTCTATCATCAGCCACCACTTCTCATTCATAATAATGTCCACTTCGGCATCACGACGTGCTCGCCTAGTCTGGGTTTCTTGAATCAAATCGTTCAACAACTCGATCTCGTCGATGACCTTCACTGCCTGCTTGCTCTTCACGACACCGATCATCGTTTTATTTGAAACGATGTAAACCTTTTGGTCCGGAATGTTCGCATCCTCAAGGTTGTCTTTCACGCTCTTACGCGTCTGCTGAATGAACTGCTGCCGTGCAGCCTGGTAAAGCTTCTTCTTCTTATCCTCGCTCTCATCACCGTCATCGTCATCGCTATCGTTCGCCATATCGTCCATGATATTAGAAATGTGTTGATCTGCCTTAGAGCGCACGATATACGTGGGGATCCGGAAACGCCTGCAGTTGGTGAGGATGGCAATGTCGGTCATAGTGAAGCGATTGTCGAACAGGATGATGATGCAGTCGAAGACGTAGAGTCCTTGGGCATTGAAGTACTGCCAATCTGAGATTTTGAGCGTGCCTGCACCTGGGATATCGTACCAGACAAGGGGGTATTCCGCGTCGGGGTGAGGGATTCTAGCCATGGCTAGCGTTGTCTCGGTGACACCAGTGGCAGCAGATCTGAGGTCCTTATTGCGTAAACCGCAAAAGGCATTGATGAGAGATGATTTCCCTGCTCCTGCCACCCCGGCTACTGCAAAGTGAAAAAGGTCCTCGCGATATTGAACTTTCCGCTTGGCGGCGCTAACTTCTTCAGGAGAGGGAGTCGCCACAGGTCGAATGCCTTCTTTCAACTTGCGTTCAGCCTCCTCCTTGGCAGCATTGGCCGTCTTTACTTGCTCTTCTGCCACTTTCTTCGACACGTTGGCCGCCTTCTGGGCTACAGTCGCCCTCCTCCTCTCCTCATCGGCAGCTTCCTGTAGTCTCTCAGCCTGCTCCTGGGTAGCCTGGACGTCTCGTTTGGCTTGTTCTTGTACAGCGGCAGTTCGCTTACGTTCCTCCTCTGCTTCCACTGCTTTTTGCTTCGCTTGTTCATTAGCGGTATGGGCAGCAGCTTCTGCCAGTAAGCGGGCATCATTGGCAGCCTGTGCAGCCTGGACCATCGCCTCCATTTCCCTACGGGCCTGATCCTGTGAAGCTACCGCAGCTTGCTCAGCGGCCTGCTGAGCCGCCATAGCCCTTTCCTGCGTTTCTTGATTCGACCTGATGAGCTCGGCGATCTGTGCTCTGGCAGCATCAGCATCATCTCTGGCTTTCTCAAGAGCCGTCTCTGCTTCCAGGAGTCCGTCTATTCTGACGATGAGTTGACTACAATTTTTGAGCAGATCCCAACATCTATCTTTGGACAGACTCCTGGGCCAAAATTTATCTTCGGGCAGACTCCCTGCGGACAGACTCCCAAATGTATCTTTGGACAGACTCCAAAATCGCCCAATTGTATCTTTCGACAGACTCCAGAATCTGCAAAATCGATCTTTCGACAGACTCCAAAATATATCCTTTAGAGCTCCCATCTCCGAATTTGCACAATATTGGTAATGCGTAACCCTGTTGATGATGACGTCGCATGATGCTCCCGTCTCTTGAGGTGAAAAAACTTACTGATATGCGTATGGTTTGGAAAGAGTAATCAGCTAAAAGCGCTACTCAGAGCAAGTCCTGTCGATTTCAAGATGAGAGCGAAGAACAACCATGCGAGGCGTCTTATATTGTCCCACGTGCAGACCCAGAGAACGACTGAATGCGGCTAACCCAGGGCTATGGGTTGTTCCACATGGATAAAAGTGCGTGAAGTGTGACCAGAAGGCAACGAAGTCATAGAACGGAACCTGATGCATGATGAAGCTTAAGGGAGGACGTCCTGTGCATGGAAGTAGGGAATGAATTACGAGATCACATTGAATGATTGTATATGCCCAAAAGTGTCTACATTAGACACGTTAGCATGATGTGGTGGGTGCGACATGCATCAGCTATTGTGAGATACAGGGGGGTCATTTCATCTAACACAATCATATCAGCTTCAAGCTCCATCAAAAAGTCAATTCTGCGAGCGCTCAGCGTAGATCATCATCAGCAGGAAATTGCAGTCGACCGAGACGACAATAGCCCACCAGGTGCCTTCATCAAGAGGAAGGTGTTAAAGTACAACCATTATACTCGATCGTCTGGACCACACACCTTAAGCCCGCAATCCTCCTCGTTCTTAGGGCGTGTGGAGTTACGCATCTGAAGAAGAAAGTGAATGGGCCCTGGAACACGGGTCTCAACGGTATACGATTACGTTACCGGATCTCAGCCTTCGGTTACTGGCAAATTAAAAAATTCGGTCACGATACTTGCGTTACTTACGCCAACCAATTGAACTCCTAGTGGTATACGAAACTACGACCAACAAGGATTACCCTCAACTTTCCGTTTCAGACTCTCCTAGCGGAAAGGTCCAGCGGTAGATTGTTACCATCTGCATTCGAAGCTGGGGTGATTAGCCTGTTGACCACAGGTCTTGACATGCTACGTGAACCCCTACTACCGGAGTCAACAACTACACACAATGGTGGATCTGCATCTGTTGTAGAGAGGTGCAGGCAACTGCTTGCGCCTGTTCTTCTTATGTCTGCCAAATCTCAAGACTCTTCGACAGCTCTCGACATCACAGCGTGTGCAGCCATGCTCACCGATGATCGTTGCCGCGAGTTTCTACAGCAATCTAGAGATATGAAACTTCAAATTGACGCCCTCAGTGCCTTGCACCCACCGAAGAACCCTCGAGTTGGCGCTGTTGATCCACACATCAACAAGGAGGACTTAAAACGCGGCATGGAGACACACGGTGAATCCACTCGGACTACGCGTGTTTGGCTAGATTCAGACACGTTATCTATCGGGTCACGGAAGGATAGCGAAGCTACATTGGTAGATTTGCCAATTGACCACAAGGCTTTCACACCCCTCCAGGATTCTATACATCGCTCTGTCAAGGACGTCACACTCCTAGTCAAACAGATCATGGAACGTGACGAGGCTCCATCATCGCACGACCCAAACTCGGCAAATGTTCAAGCATCGGCACCTGCCTCTGTTCCACATCAGATGACTCCATCATCGTCACTTCCTGTAGAAGACGTCGTGATGGCGATATCTTTAGCACATCACTCAGGACCGTCTCCCGTAGATCCTCAGAATATAGCAACATGCTCGTCTACCGACTCCTATCCTTCGTCGTCACCGAAAATTCCAACCCTATCTATGCCCGGAACCTGGTTCGGGCGCCAGGGCCTTACTCGACCAGGTATACTTACCATTGATTTTGCGGTCGGAGATCGCATTATTCCCGCAGCTTCGTCGAGCAGGTACGCAAGACTTCGCGGTTCTAACTTAGCCTTTCCTCACGAGACATCTTAGTTCCTCCAATGTTCCATTTACCGTGCAACTTTCTTGTTTCCGCAAGGATCCCCATCATGAGCTTCAGGAAGGTGACAGCCTGGATATCACCCTTGACAAAATCAGGAGTGTGGGAGAGGATTGGCCTGCTAAAGGCACCCTTGTGGTGCAATTGAACGTTGAAAGCGCCAATGGGCGGTCCTGGCTTCCCTACGAATTGGTATGGTGTTATTCGTGGATGCTACCTCCAGAAACCAAATAACTTAACGTCTGCTACAGGAAAAGGGAGCACTGAATGTGACCCCGTCTATCACGCAAGGTAACAACACGATGCGTCTAATACACCTCAACGATCTATCCGACTTTACCTTCGTTCTGTACACCCTCTCGCCAGAGCTTCCAAAGAGGGCCGAGCCCTGGAGGGGACGATGCTGGGCATCCAAAATTATCCAGCCCGACTCAGAGATTTCGTTTGACACAACAAATATCATTCAGCACTATGCAAACGTACCAGTTATTGTATCATAATAGTCCACCTTTCGGTACCTTTAGACTGCGTTGTTCAGCTCTTGCATTATAAACCCGCACACGACATATGTGGTATATTGGTATCAAATACTGGCAATTTTCTTAATAGACATGACAATAACATCTGAAGCGCTCGCTTGGTATTAAAAAGTGAGCACATCTACGTCACCGCGAAGCGTAATATAACGGACGCCTCGAGGCACGTTACGTTGACCTCGGCAACCGGAAGTGCCTGCCTTTCCCCACATGTTTCTTTCCTTCATCATCCTTGTACCTTTGGAAAACGTCCGCATTCCCCTTATCCACCTCTTTACGACCTCACGACCTCACTACGGCACATTTATTCGCGCTAAGCCATCTCTACCATATCATGTCCGGTGGAGACGCAACCCATCATGATGCCACGCCAGAACCTCCCGATGTTAATAGCACAGAAACTGAACAACCGAAAGGCAGACAGCTCAAGAAGGACGAACGGGGGTATACACAGGTGTACCTCGCTCGAGCACGGATTGAAGGGATTGAGAAGTGGAGAGTGGCTGTGGATGCAGCGCTGCAGGCAGCCGAAGAAGAACGCGCACAGTTTGAGGAAACGAATAGGAAACGACGGAGAATCGAAGAAGATGCGTGGGGAACTCTTGAAGAGACGCAAAATATTAATAAGGAGATTGAGGAGGTTTTGGCGCAGGACGTCCCAGTTGAGGTATGAAACTAGTTATTGTCATCACCTCGTTCCTCGTGATAACCTCGTTTGTAGCATACTGACGCGGTGGGGGGTACAAAGCAGAAGCGCCGCAGTAGGCGACATGAGCTCTGGAAAGGCCTCCGAAACATGTTCTTTAATATTATCTTCTAGCCAAATCCGTCGTCTGATTTCTTATCGTTGGTGTTCGTAATAGCATAATTTGGAGTTCTGGGAGGCATAGTGAGTGGTGGATGGGAACCGGTTGAATGAAGACGGCAGCCAGCAATTACGAGACGGAAATTGCCATTGCAACCGTCCTTGTCCGAGCTGGACTGATGCTCATTCCACCAAAAGACGCGCCCAACCCATCGTCGTCTGACTCTCCCCGTTTCGAAGCAGTGATTGGTATGCACGAGCCGCCTTGTCCGTGTTCCCATTCATTAAACGTTGAGTCCTCCTCTATCAGATCATCTTCATCCTCTTCTTCTTCATCGTCAATAGCCACCGCTGCCCACTCTCGATACACGCCTTGTATGTACTCGCCTGAGCGGGGCAGTTTGAAGGGATCGAAAGGGAAAAAAGTGTGCAAGTCCTCCGGGCCAGCGCTACCGGGTGCTACACCGGCAAATACAGGGTACGGTGTTCGTTTGTTTGCTTCCAGAATGGAGAAGCAGTATGTAAAATCAGTTGCTTGTGCGATGCGAGCAAATTGATGTACGACATTCTGAGAGCAGACCTATTTTGCGGTAGTTAGCCAAAGAATCTTTTCAAAGACGACGGCTAGCAAACCTTGAGAGGGTTGAGATCAGATGTGATAACTCTCTGCACGACTCCTAGCTCGCTTATCCATATCTTCCGTCCCACCTCTTGTTCGTCCGGCTCCTCCTGTAAGTCGCGCCAACGGAAGCAAAATACCAGAAATACAGACTGGACAACTGCATAAAAAACGCTGTGATTATTGCTAGCAGCATTGCCAGCCTCTACAGCATCTAAGTGCGCTCCGAGAAATGCGCATAGGACTTTAACGGCCCTCCGTGCGCCCTCACGATCAATAAACTGTGCACGCGAGACAAAGCTCCCGATATAACTGCTTGCTGCCGCACGTTCCACGCTACTCGCACTTGCGCTTCCGAAAAGGGCTTTGTCAACAAGTAGTCCCAGGAAAAGGTCTGAGAACTCGGGGTGAAGGGAAGCATACCAGAAAAGGAGAAATTGGGTATATCGGGACTTGAAAGTGCGGAGGATAGATCTATCGAAGATGGCTAGGAGAGTGTGAAATTGTATTGCGAGGAGGGTATGTGGCTCGTGCGATTGCGGGTCGCGATCGTGCGTAGTTGTTGGATGAATGGAGGGAGACGAAGGTACGACGGTAAGTATGGATGAATGTAGTTTGTTGAAGTGGTCAAATACAAGCTTGAGGATAGCATCAAGTTTCGAGACCATATCATGAACGTGTCTGGTGTCCATGGGGGTATCTTCAGCATCACTGTCTGACGATGCATCAGACGATAAATCGCTCAGACTATCGTCAACATCCTCATCATCAGAAGAGTTGCCCTCTTGCCCTATTATGGTATCAAACGGATCAAATTCAAAAAGTTCGCCATCTGTAGGTTCGGCGTCTTCAAGCTCTTCGAGCTCTACTTGAATCTCTACCTACGTGCAATTAAATCAATTAGGATCCAACCGCACAGAAAAAGAGCCCACTCACATCAACCATCAAAGCACGATCCACTATAAGGCCCAGGACCCTCTCTGAAAGTTCATCACAATACTCGGTTATACGCAGCAGATTTCGTATATAAGCTACATGTGCAGCTTGTGGCTGACGCTTGTGAGGGAAGTTTCGTACGAGGAGGGGAGCTAGAGATGATGGGAGGGTTGGTACAAGGTTTAAGAGATGTTCGAGAAGAGTATGTTGTCGATCATAGATCACACGTCGTGTTAAGGGGGTGGAGCCCTCTAAGTTTGAGGTGACAGCGAGAAGACCAGATTCTGCGAGTGACGCATCAAAACTGCTTGAATATCTTTCAAGATGGTAATAACTCACGATATGTGAAGCCCATCGCGATTCTGTTGAGAACAAGTGATAGATATTCTGGGCGCGCACTTATGAGCATGCCGATGAATACGATATACGATTTAACGAAGACAGCATCCATAGTAGACCATGGTAGGCGGACAATTGCCTCTACCAGTGGCGCGTGACGCCTCTCGAGGCGAGAAAGGACATGTGAGAGTGCAGAAAGCCAGATACGAAGCTGCAGAGATGACACGGTAGGCGCAAGCGTGGATTTGTTCGGACTAAACTGGTCAACAACGTCATCAAAGTCTTTGCTATGCCCCTGCGCACGACGATCAGCACGCGATTAAGTGATATACCCCATACTCACATTGAGCTTCTCGCGTATGGCCTTATTCACATATGCGAGAAACATGTCCTTTTTGAATTGTTCATCTTGCTTCACCCGCGAATTCGTCGCGATAGGGCGAGAGGTAAATAGTGGCGAGTCCGATGGCATGGATGATGAGTAGGCTTTAGTGTACTTGTCTAAGGTGACTTTTTGGGTTGGCTCGAATCGTACGGAGGGTGAAAATGGTCCAGCCTTTGGTGTTCTTTGATTGAACTGGGAGAGTCTTGAATGCGGGTCCATCGTGACCGTTTTATGACTGCTTCACATCCGGTGTACAGCTTAAAAAACATTCCTGTAAAAACTTGATTATTATAAATGAATTATTTTAGGTTATCCTAAGAATTTGATGTTTATTCCAGTTAAGTCTCACTTCCCTCATCACCAACTACAATGTCTACCTCATTCTCGTCGGCTCACAGGCTCTATGTCAAGTCACTCTACCGCCGTATGTTGAAAAATGAACTGGACTGGGTTGTTCGCAGAGATATCTGGCGTGGTCGTGCAATGATGATTAGAGCTGAGTTTGAGAGAAACCGGTCAGTAGTAGACGTGAATGCGGTCGTCACTCTGGTCTAACTAGCAGATGGTGCTTGCATGTATCAGTGACGTGACTGAGCCGAGAGCCCTCGCCCAGATTCTTGAGAAGGCAGAGGCGAATCTCGCAAGCAAGTTGCATCCCGACCCTTACATCCGTGAGTTTCCGCGTCTCCATCACATCACCTCCTCTAAAAAAGCTTATTTTTCATAGCTCCTACCATGCCAGGAGGAACAAAGTGGTATGTGGTGAACTTTTATTCTCGTATTCGTCTTTTGTTGAGGCCGAAACTCATGCAGGGAACGCAATATACCTGTATGTTGCATCTTTCGCCTTTGTGTCATTGTCCTGACATTGCCTTCTACAGCCTACTATTGCTCCTTTATACGATCATACAGCTGCCGTACATCATTAAGTACTGTATACTTGCTCCAGCGCCCAATACACTCCGTTGCGTTGAACGCCAGTCATCTTACTGTGTCGGCCGTAATGTTGTTATCCGATCCATTTCTGAAAGTTCAGCCTTTTCAGTGATTGCCAACGTACCATCAGCATGAGTGCACCAGTGGTGCACGACAGATATGATGCTGGCGTTGAAGTAGTCATTGTTGCTGAACGACTTGGCTATACGTCAACTACTTGCAGCTCGGAATATATTAATAATTGGGCCACAAATGTAAGTTCCACCAGTAACGACAACCCATTGATCGTCCTTTGATACTGCCACATACATCTGCATCCAATTCTTTTTGATTTGCATGCACATCCCATCCCAGAGTAATTCTGTCCTCAGATCCGCTGATCATTCCCTCGCCGTCCGGAAGTGGAGTATCGATCGAAAACGCTTTCCTTCAAGGACCATTACCGGTGTTATAATCGTATTGGTTACTGCAGCGATGGAATTCACCAATATGGAATCCATCACTCGTGTTCCTACGAGCAAAACTCCCGAGCAGGCGAGACCTCTTGTGCTGTCAGCAAGCCGACCTCGATGGTGGCTTGTTAACTTTGTAATATCCAGCGTGGACGGACTGACGATTGGCCCCAGCAGACAAAGCCCTCTCGAGCGAGTTAGCTATCTTTCGAGGAAAGGTTGAACGTGCCCAACCGCCTTTGTGCTTATTCTAGTCGTCGTCTCCGAACGCTCGAACCCGCTATGTCGTTATCTTTAAACTACCCCGAAGTCGAAAAGCGGAAAATGGTGGCAGGAGATAGATGTTATCACAGGAATGGTCACTTCGCGCGAGATGTGATAGGCCAGACTTCATCATTTCATCGACAACTGAAGACCCCATCTCTAGATACCTACCAGAAACGAGTCACTGGCGAAAGGACAGTTCCACTTTCTGCAAGGATCCCAAGGAAGAGAGCGAGATGTATACAAAATACTTCATAAATGAGTGAGCCCTAGCCGTTTTGACCTGGGAGAACGCTCCGGAACCTGATCTGTTAAGATAGAGGGATGTTGTGGTGGAATAATGGAGCTTTGCAACGTGTAAAAAGATGATAGAGCAGAACCTTTGCCGTCCGTTATACTGTGCAGAGACACCATCAATATGGAACTAGAATGTCAAGGACATGTCCTGAGTCCTGGATAGACGATGTAGAAATGGCCTGCGCCTGAATTTAGCTGTGCCACTCAACCTGTTGTGTAAGTACATTTGATTGAGCATAACGAACAAGATCATCCATTGATTGTTTTAGGAATACTACAGGCGTAGCAAGACGGTCGTAAGCCTTGTTATACTGCTAACTGCACCGTCTGCTCGAGAATTGGTCTTGTCTGGACAGACTGTCGGTGCACAGAAAATGGCCCGATAAACTCGTACTTTTGAGAGAGTGGACTATACTCCCGGCACGGATCAGATGCGAGCCATAACCTGTGGTATTGCATATACAGATCATGCCACTCTTATGGGTGATCACCGTATGCTAGCTGGCGTCAGTCGGACGAGAGGATAGGGTAGCTGCGAGCCTCTGCCACGAATGAGGTGAGTATTCCGAGCTTGGCAGGTGCGCATCATGTGGCACCACTGGCAACTCGGCGGAGACCATCGTCAGATCAATGTGCTAGACTGGCGAAAGCTTGATGCGAATTCAATGCAGTTCTTCGAGCCACTTCGATATGCTTTCAACAGTGCATTGAACATTAACGAACGCAGGGGTCAAGTGGTCCTGCATATGTGATGAATAACCAAAGTCAGTGAAATCCATTTATCCGGTGGCGTATCTCATTTCAGTGGATCAGTCACACTGGACGCGCGACAGATCAGGGACACAAGGAACCCTTACTTTATTCTAGACAAGGAAGGGAACTCGGTAAAGACGCGAACAACGTTACCTGAATGGAGTTTGGCTTGATGGAGGTTGAATAGGTTGCCCTTCAATTACCCTGAAAGATGTTTCACGAATCATCTGATGGAACCACCATCTTCTTTCTTCTATCTGTCTGTCTGACACCGTCTGATTATGTCTGATTCTTAGATCAGTGATTGATAAGAAGCTATCGATTATCCGCAGGCTGCAGCTGATTTTTAAACATCCCGCCAGCGCCCACAGGATCATTCTTCCAATTTGAAAATGAAAAAAGTTCGGTATTGTCAGCAGCGCTGGAGCGGGGGACCCCTTGGGTGAGGTTGTTTGGCGGTGTTTGGAGCGCAGGCAGGGCGTTAGGTAGAGTTCCGGCCCAAGCAGCAGTACTTAGTAAGGCATCACTTCGTTGTAGAGTCCAGCGCACGCATTTAGCAGAGCCCACCCTAGCGCTACCATCATCTCAGTGACTTGACCGCCCAACCGAAACAAACAACCAGTGAGTACCAGTGGTTCGGTGCACTCTGTCTCATCTTTTTGATTGACAGTGGTGATTGCTCACAGTGTGCACGATGTTTTACACACCACATGCCTGTGGATGCCAGAAGGACTCAAAGTTTGTCCAATGCGAAGCACGCCAAGGTACAAACGTCCGTTGTTCCTCGTACGCTAGGGAACCGTTGAGCCAGGCAGGAAATTATTGCGAGAATCATCTCGTGAAAGACACTGCACCTATACAAATGCGTCAGTGAATAAAGGTACCTCAATCTTTTGACATCCTCTTCATGGCGTTACTAACGCGAAGGCTGCATGCAGAACCGGCAAAGCCAGCCAGTACAAGTGTAAGCTAAATGTTATTATTCCTACAATACGTGTGTTGTGAAGGTGAAGTCAAATAAAATTGTCTCGTCAGTGTTTCAGTATTACTATTGAATATTTTCTGGTGAGATATTCGAGAGGACAGTTGCTGAGATATGACTTGTGCCAGCATATCTTTCGACTTTGTTGCAGGTTCCGTAGCGGCCAGCGCACGAGAGAAAACTCGTGTGGCACGTAACCTCCTAGACGCGTTCGCGGCTTCAGTTTCGTCGTGTGACTCGTGTCTACACCTTTGACTATGTATTTCTTAGTCATTTGAATGCGAGCAACGGACTCACATGTGCATACAGGCACTCCTGCTGTGGTGTCTGCGTTGCCATATCATGCAGGATCGCTTGCAAAAGATTTAGGCACAGCTGTAATTTGATCAACAGTGCTATATATTTTTCATCTGCGTCGGTTAACTTGACAAATGTTTTCCACTACACGTTTGAAAAGCCGAAGAATACGTTCAGTAGGCTAAGTGTGTCAGAACCACGCCACCTCGTCCTGTTGTCTCACTCAGCTGGGCAGGCAAAGTAGCGAGCTCCTCATCCTTCTGCTCAGCACTCCTGCACAACATCGCATTCTCGAAGTCGATCAATGTAACAGTTCCGTCCGACGCCACGACGAAGTTGTGTTTGTTCGGATCGCCATGAATGATGTTTAGCCCATGCAGGCGCTGCAGCACATTGCGACATCCCTGCAAGTCTTCCGGACCAGCCGGTCGTCCGTGCAATTGTTCTATTAAGAACCCTATCACCCTGTCCCCTTCGACGATGTGCCCAAGGAATTCTGGGCACACGCCACACCCTTTGATCGCTCGATACGCCGCAGTTTCTCTTTCCATCCGCGGGATCTCAAAATCAAACCTGGCAATCTTGGACACCACCGGCCTCGAAGCGTACTGGGCCACTCGCGCCTCAACCCAATTACCTGGCGGCAGATGTGGGAGGAGGGGGAGGAGGTCCATAGGAAAGGGCAAAACATCACTAGGGAATGTTCCCGGTTCGATGGTGATGTATTTCACTTGACTGCCTACGCGCAAGCGGTACAGGCTTTCCTCGACATCAGGATGTAAAGTGTCTACATCCATCGAAAGAACTTCCTGTGCCATTGTGTTTGTAAGTCCAATTACGCACATGAAAGGGATTAAAATTTTCGTCATTACCATGTCAAGGGTGGAAGTCACCAGGTCCGCGTGGGTCATCTACATCGACCATGTTACTGCCTATAATGTTGTTGAAAGACTAGATAGTGTACTCACAGTAGTATGTACAATGATTAGGAGGAGAAAGGCCTGTCTTTCTCTGTCGTCTATGATCTAGGACTCGAGAATATGATTGTGAAAACTTGTCGCCGATTCTCAGCCGTTGAGGCTTGAGATTGCGAAAGAGAAGAAAAGCAAACTATAGTAGAAGTCCAAATTAACACATAATATTATTCAAATCGTCCAGTTAGATCGGTTTATCCGGTGGCGGGCCAAGGTGGCGCAGGGTCTCAGTTTGGTAGACAATCACAGCGCTAGCTGTACCACAGGTCCAACGAATGTATCGTTCTGTGTCATGTTGACTGTACATAAAATACAAGAGTGAATTGGTTCTATCGCAGAAAACAAATGAATTGGTACAAATGGGTAGGGTATCACAGCCAGTCATGGATCGATAGCGGAATATTCATAAGTTAACAAAACTGCAAGGATGTCAGCTCAAGGGCTCTCGAGATGAATACGCATACGCACTGGGATTTCTACCCACCATCCCGGTGGGCGCTTAAGCTTCATCTCCACGGAATGCACTTGACTTTGCGTTGGGCAGGTAGCCTCCCGTTCCGTATCCATCCACAATACTAACAACAGCACCTCTCCCGATGTCACACACTCTGATGGGATATCCTTCGAATCCCCAACCACCTTTCCACCTGCCAAAGTGCAAACGCGAAGACCGAGATATACCTTGAGAAATGTGAGGGAATTCATGGCGATGTAGGCATTGTTGTCTGGTAAAGTTTTGCCTGGCCGAACATGGTGGAAAGCAATGGTCCCCATGTTCCAAAGTTCCTTCCTGACAATAGGAAAACCAAACAGCCAACGATTGCCGCATGGAGCCCGGGGAGGCTTTACGAGAACGTACTGAGATACGTCTGAGCTGTATTTAGAAGGCACCCATTGCACCGCGGTAGACGTTTCTTGTGAGTCAGACTCTGAGATCTTTGAAAAAGAATGAGTAACAGTACGCGTACAACAGATGAAAGTTGACGAGGCACCCACCTGAAGTCTTCTAAGGCTTCGCTCAAGTTGGCTTGCAGTAGAGGGCATTTTCGAGAAGGTTTTGTCAACGAACAAAACGAACTTGATCAATATCCAATCAATATCATAATATTTTGACATACGCCACTAATGTGACTGGACACCCATTGTTTGCTCGATGAAGTAAGAATCGCGGACTTGGATGCGGCTGTGACGCCAGTGGAGTCAACTTACATCAGGTTTCCAGTGGTGCCACTGGCGAATTTGAATGGTTTCTGTTAATGTTGCAATGCCTTGTCTGCTCCAAGTAGGACTGCTGCACGTCAGGATTGTCCAGTATATCAGATTTTGGCTTTTCAGGTGTTCTGGGTACAGTAGACACGAATTCACCCAAATTGACACTATGTTTTCGAGGGTGTGAAATTGACGCAGTAAATTTGCCGGGCAAATTTGCCTGGTGCAAATTCCCGGAACCCTAGACTAGGCATTCACAGATGATTATGGTGTCTTCAAGTGTCACGCCTACGTCGTTGCGCGTTGAAAGGCTAGTGATGTCAAAAAACGCGTCAAAGCTCGAAACGAGGAACAGAACAATAGCATGCTGTTGAAGTTGGAATTCCAAGTTGTACATAGTTCTCTGCTGGCTGAAGAATGCGCGCCCGTTAGGTGTCGACTCGGAGGGACCAGAGAGGGAGGAAAATAAAATAGTCATTGGTTGATGTACTGGTTGTGAATGTCTCTATGATGTATAAAATAACAAGGGAATGATCGTGAACCATGCAACCTGATCTGAGAGTCAAATGTAGAACATATAGGAATACTTGCATTAATGGCGCGCCAGTGGCCGCATCAAAATAGCTACGCCCAATTAAAAAAAGTACAAGTATGTCAGCTCAAGGGCTCTCGAGATCAATATGCATACGCACTGGGATTTCTACCCACCATCCCGGTGGGCGATTAAGCTTCATCTTCACGGAATACACTTGATCTCGCGTTGGACAGGTAGCCTCACGTTCCGTATCCCTCCACAATACTAACAACAGCACCTCTCCCGACGTCACACACTCCGATGGGATATCCTTCGAATCTCCGACCACCTTTCCACCCGCCAAAGTGCAAAGGCGAAGACCAAGATATACCTCGAGAAATGTAAGGGAATTCATGGCGATGTAGGCATTGTTGTCTGGTAAAGTTTCGCCTGGCCAAACATGGTGGAAAGCAATGGTCCCCATGTCCCAAAGTTCCTTCCTGGTGATAGGAAATCCAAATAGCCAACGATTTCCGCATGGAGCCCGAGGAGGCTTCACCAGAACGTACTGAGATACGTCTGAGCTATATTTAGAGGGCACCCATTTCACCGCGGTAGACGTGTTTTGTGAGCCAGACTCTGAGATCTTTGAACAAAATGAGCGGCAGTACACGTAGGACAGTAGAAAGTTGACGAGGTACCCACCTGAAGTTTTCTAAGGCTTCGCTCAAGTTGGCTTGCAGTAGAGGGCATTTTCGAGAAGTGTTTTGTCAACGAACAAAACGAACTTGGTCAATATGTAATACTTTGGCACACGCCCACGCCACTGTGGCTGATGCTGGCTGGACAACACCCAAATATTGTTGTTTGCTCGATGGAGTAAGAATCACGGACTTGAATGATTTGGATGCGGCTGTAGTCCCACTAGTGGGCACTTGGTATATATGCAGAATTCGTATGGTCTAAATTCATGTTCGTATATATGATCATAGTGCACAGCGCAGCCGCTATCGTGACTAGGCATTCCCAAATAATTATGATGTTCCACCTATAGCTATTGTGAACTTTCATCCTTTCCGCCGCGCCATCAGTGAGTTCACGATTATCTCTCGGCTATAGATTTGAATTTCATTCATTCTAGCGACACATCAGACAATACCTATTTTTTCTTTTCTTTTCTCTCTAGACTCTGCGAAGCACGGGTATTTTTTTTTTTGAATCGTTGTTTGTTGTCCGTTTACAGCACCGTACGGTGACTTTAATTCAAGTTAGGGGCGCAAGTTACTAAGTAGTAAGTATTCCTCAAGGAGCTGTAACTTCGGATAGCTTATCTGACTTCTCACAAAATGCGACTGACTGATATCAAAGGTTTTCGATTTTGCAGAATGTCCGTTGCTCATGGCAAGGGACGCCATATTGGTAAGGAAGGTCATACGAACGTAAATGAAAAGAACAAGGTTTGGGCCGATCGTACTCAATGGAGTAAGAATCACTGTGAGTGGACATTCTTGGGCGGTGTCGAAAAAGTTCAAAGTTGATGCAATAATCGATAACGGTTTACTGCAACCTGTGACTACTTATCTCCACCGGTTTTCAAGGATCGATGTGACTTTGAAATGTCTGAATAATCTTAGTGTCGTAGGTATAAATTCACAAGTGCAGCCCATAAACCGCAATTCTAGTGGCTCCCCCGTCATGTCATTTCGCCAACCTCGAGAACCATCTTTGCTTCACCAACCTACCTACTCTCAAAGATTCAGCAATCAAAACACTTCGACTACACTGCATCAACCAGCCCAGAGTACCTGGAGGTCCACTTCTACGTCGTTGCCGGTAAGTGAATATAAAGTCGTTCTTACTACTGCTCACCGCTACAATATCAGCGATCGGTGGGAGCAGGGGCCACACAAGAGATGTGGAGGAACGATACACGCGGGAGGTTTTACGACACGCTAGAACAAAGGTACGAGTCTCAGTATTCGTTTCGAATCTCTATTAACAATTGTTTGTACCTAGAACAAAGGTACGACTAGATGTACGTCAGCGCTTGCGCTCGAACGTTACAGTGGGACTTGTACTTACGTCTCAGTATTCGTTTCGAATCTGAGACGTTTCGACGAAAACAGCGTCCTCTTATACGGTGAGTCTGCCAGCAATAGCTTTGATGAAAAATATATACTTAAAGAACGAAAAGATTGCCGACGTTGACACGTCGTCGACGTTCTCCGTTTGGAGACGCTCGCACTCGATGTGCTCTATTCTTCGGCCGTATCGTCCTTTCCTTTCTCAGCTCTCTCTCTCTCGGCCTTACTTCCCTCGGACACATCGGCTCTCAACACTCCCCCTCGAGCGTTATCCAAACACATCAATGTCCTCAACCTCTGGAGTCGGGGACGTGCCAATGGCTTCGTGAACGCGTCCGCGACATTGTCGTCACTGGGGCAGTAGATTATCTTGAAGGTACCGTCCTTCACGTGGCCGCGTACGAAGTGGTATCGCAGGTCTATGTGCTTGGTGCGCGATTGGAATTTTCCCGTCGAGACTAACGCTATAGCAGCTTGGTTGTCGCAGAAGACGGGTGTGGGGAGGTCTTGGACGTCGTAGAGCTCGCGGATGAGGAGTTGCAGGTAAAGTACTTCCCTTGCCACGCTGGTCAACGCTATGTACTCAGCTTCAGCTGTTGACAGGGCTATGATAGGCTGTTTGCGCGCGCTCCACGAAACGGGGCCTCCATGGAGCAGTACGATGTACCCGCTCATGGAGTGCCTATGTGGCTGCGATGCCCAATCGGCATCGACGAACGCCTCGATTCCCCCCTCGCTGGATCCCAACGTCAGCTCATAGTCTGCGGTGCCTTTCAGGTACCGCAGGGCGCGTTTGGTGGCCTCCCAATGGGGTCTCCCCGGATTCCTCATAAATTGCGACAGTGTTGCCACCGCAAAAGCGATATCCGGCCGGGTACTCGTAGCTGCGTACATTAACGAACCGATCGCGCGTTGATATGGTACGTCTCGCATAGCTTGGAGTTCGGCGTGTGTTGCAGGGGACTGATCTATGGAAAGGACAGTACCTGGTTCCATGGGCGTGTGCAGGACCTTCGCGTCCTCCAGGTGGAACCTTTCGAGGATCGTCTCGACGTATGCCTTCTGTGAAAGCGTCAAGGTGCGTGCTACGCGGTCCCTCGTCACCTTCAGCCCCAATAACCAGCTCAACTCCCCTAGGTCGCTAATCTCGAAGTGCGCGCGCAGCTCGGACTTAAACCGATGGATATGGGATATATGGTTGGCGGTGACGGCCATGTCGTCGACAGAGACGGTGATGACGACGTGTTCGCGCGAGGTGCGTTTGTAGAAAACGGCTTGATCTACTTTTGACCTGCTGAAGCCCATTTCATTGAAGGCTCCAGCTAGCTCCTGCGCCCACTCATATCCTGCTTGTTTGAGTCCAGGTAAGCTTCTTTTCAGCTTCAGTACCTTCCCTTCCTGACCATCCTTCAAGTATCCAGGGGGCGCTCGCATATATGTCCTCCTGCAGACTCGCATATAGGTACGCACTTTTAATATCGACTTGGTGTATTTCCCAGTCGCGCTGAGCAGCCATCGTTAGGACTGCACGTATCGTGCTCATATTGGCTGTGGGGGCGAAGGTTTCGAAGAAATCGACCCCGTACTTCTGGCGCTGCCCATTTGCAACTAGGCGCGCGCGAAGCTTCAGCTTCTCGCCGTCCGGCCCGCGCTTTGTGGCCAGGACGTAATGGCATGGGATAAGGTTTACGCCTCGAGGTGCGTCTACGATTTCCCACGTACCTAGCTTCTCGAGTTGACTGACTTCGTAATTGATGGCTTCTTGCCACTCTGCAGCGTCTGGGCCCTTCAAGGCTTGTTGGAGGGTCGGTTCTGGTTGGACGGCGGCCAATGCTAGGTGAATATGCGCCTCTTCATCCAAGAGGTCGAGTTCTGACGCTTCCAACAGGCTTTCCATGGTTAGGGCTGCCGTTTGGCCCTCATTCAGCGCCGCATAGTACCCTGGGGGTGGTCTTACCCTCGTCGACCTCGCTTCAGGAGTAGATGGTTGAGGTTGCTGGGCAGTAGACGGTTGAGGTTGCTGAGGAGTAGAAGGTTGAGGTTGCTGAGGAGTAGATGGTTGGGGTTGCTTAGGAGTAGAAGGTTGAGGTTGCTGTGGCATGGTGATGGGCTGGACGCTACTAGGTGAGTTATTATTACCGTTGCCGCTGTTATGTTCGTTGACTACAGCAGACTCCCCCTCGTCCGGCATACCATCGGCTGCCAGGATCGGCGTGAAGGTCACATTCCTCTCCACCGAGACACGCCGTCTGCCGGGCCAATACACCCGGTATCCTTTACTTTCAGCGTCTACCCCCACAAAAACTGCCTCCTCCGCCCTCGCCTCCAGCTTACCAGCCTCCAGCATATGGACGAAGACCCTGGCCCCAAATTCATGGGCCTGCGACAAGTCCGGCTTGGACTTGCGCACCAACTCGTAGGGCGTGCTACCTGGGATCGCCCTTGAAGGTAGGCGATTCTTGAGCCAAGTGGCGTAACTAACGGCCTCGGCCCACAGGTACTTTGGCATATCTCTGCCTAGGAGCATTGCTCTCGCATGCTCGACGAGTGTCCGGTTGAGTCGTTCGGCGACACCATTCTGTTGGGGTGAGTCGTGCACTGTTAGCTGCCGCTCTATACCTTGCTGACGCAAGTATTGATCGAACTCGGCGCTCAGATACTCTCCTCCTCTGTCCGAACGGATTTTGCGCACGCGCACACCTGGTGATTGACGGGCCACCCATGCCTCATAGGACTTGAACGCGGTAAGTGCGTCACTCTTTTGTTTGAGGAACTCGAGTCGCGTCTGCCGGCTAAAGTCGTCCGTGAAACTGACATAATATTTACAGCCTCCCAAACTCGTCGTCTGCGCCGGTCCCCAGAGGTCCGTATGGACTAGTTCTCCGTATGTAAGTGCGCGCATCTTCGTTTCTCTTGGGAAGGACTGCTGAGCTGACTTAGCTTTCACGCAGACTTCACAGAACTGGATGGCGGGCGCCGGATCTATGTCTATGCCCAGGATTAGGCCCTTCTTGACTGCGTCAAGAAGGGCCGCATGTGATACGTGCCCTAGGGCACGATGGACATCATTGATGGTAAGCTTTGTCCTGGCGACGTTGGCACGATGCTTACGGTCGGACGTTACAGCGTAAAGTCCCTGGACTTGGGGTATTTCTGCGATCGTCCTTCGTTCGGGGGGAGCAGACAGTATCCTGCACATTCCTCCTTCGAACAGCACGGCCAAACCGGCGGAGGCGATCTTATTGGTGGAGATAAGGGTAAATGCCATGGAGGGGGCATATAGGACGTCTTTTAGCGTCACGGTCGTTCGTTTCGAGCCCAACGGTAAGTCCATCCTCACGTCTCCTCGTCCTGTCGCATTGACAGTAGCTCCATTCGCAGTGTATATCTTCTGCGGGGCGATCTCAACGAAGGATATGAATTTTGCCCTATCCGGGCAGAAATGAGAGGTCGCGCCGGAGTCTACTATTGCTCCTCGGCGCTCTGGAGGTACGTCCATCGATTTTGCTATGACTGCGAGGTTTGACGTAGCGAAAGCGTAGTTGTCCTTTGGCTCCGGCTCTTTGGCTACATTGGCACTTTGTTTTTGGGTGCGTCCTCCTTGTCTCTGCCGTTGATTCGGCCCCTGACCTTCTTTTCCTCCACCTTTTCGCCAACAGTCACTCTTCCAGTGGCCCTTACAATTGCAGTTCGTACAGACTGCGTCGGGGTTGGATTTTGGAGCCGAGCTCTGCGAGCTCGTGCTCCTCCCTGCATTTGTTCTCGCGGAGAGCGCACTGTTGGTCCCGCGTTTGTTGGGACGTCGTTCGGTGAGTAACCGGTGCTCGTATTCCTCTGTGATGATGGTGATGAGTTCGTAGGGCGAGAGGGGAGTTTTCGTTATCTTGGCCGCTGCGTTCATCGACGACAGTAGCGGCCGGTAGGATTCAGGTAAGGACCCTAGGATGATGGCATGAAAGTCCGTATCAATGACGGCTACCCCCATTCCAGCTAACGACTCCCTCAGGCGCAAAAGCTCTGAAAAATGAGCCTTGACGTCACCACCTTCTTCGCACCTCGTCTCCTGGAGCCTCCGTCTCAGATCTATCTGGACGAGTTCGGTTTTGCCTTCATGTATGTGGCATATTTCCTTCCAGATTTCGGACGCGGATGCTAACTTTTGGACACGTAACAGCAGCCGATCTGTGATCGTGCAAAATATTTGCTGTTTTACGAGTGAGTTCTTTTGTTGATACTCATCGGTCTTTGCGTCGAGCTCATCGATTTCTTTCTGCGTAGGTGTTGTACCATCCGGCTTCGTAACGGCCCCCGTAGAGCTCTTTACGAAAGGCGTAGGCTCTTTAGCTCGTCCATCGGTATATCTCGTAAGTCCTCGTGCACCTATAGCCGTTAACGTCCTTTCCTTGTAGGTTATCCAGTTCGAGCCATCTTCGGCGAGCTTCGGGATGTTAAAAAGGTTTGAATTGGTGCTGGGAGTCGACGAGTCCATGGAGGAGTCAGGGCTCATAACCTGTGGAGGAACGATACACGCGGGAGGTTTTACGACACGCTAGAACAAAGGTACGAGTCTCAGTATTCGTTTCGAATCTCTATTAACAATTGTTTGTACCTAGAACAAAGGTACGACTAGATGTACGTCAGCGCTTGCGCTCGAACGTTACAGTGGGACTTGTACTTACGTCTCAGTATTCGTTTCGAATCTGAGACGTTTCGACGAAAACAGCGTCCTCTTATACGGTGAGTCTGCCAGCAATAGCTTTGATGAAAAATATATACTTAAAGAACGAAAAGATTGCCGACGTTGACACGTCGTCGACGTTCTCCGTTTGGAGACGCTCGCACTCGATGTGCTCTATTCTTCGGCCGTATCGTCCTTTCCTTTCTCAGCTCTCTCTCTCTCGGCCTTACTTCCCTCGGACACATCGGCTCTCAACAAGAGACTCCACCGAGCTCCCATTCAATGAGCATCCGGAATGAGCGTGATTTTTCCCTCGCCTTATCTATCCGGGCTGCTCAGGCAGACACAAGGGAATGCCCCTGGTATGGAGTGTGGGCTAAAGTCCTCCAAAATTATATGTTTGCCGGGGCGGACGCATCACGAACATCATGTACATGCATTCCACAATACTCCCTCATTGCATCCCATGATTCCGGCCGCTCGCCGCCGAGTGGTGGCTCCGGTCGGTCCGATTCTGACATATCCATGGGCAGCCATTCTTCAGATCGGCATTTGATGACTCCAGGGGGCCCCCTTCCGGGACCACCACCTGTGCCCTACAACCCTACCCCAAATTTCAGTCCTCAATCACAGGCAATTTTCGGAGGACCACTACCTCCCTTGACACCTAGCCCTGTGTACCCAGATTTTCGTCGTCGTGAACCATCCCCTGACAGTCCGACTACGCAGCACGTCACTCGTATGCAGGCTCGTCGCGCTGTGAATGTTTCCAACAATCCTGTCAGCGCCTATCCGCTGCCTCAATATTCGTCGTCGTCGTCATATCCGTATCCATATCCATCGGATGGTACTTTCCCAATAACTCCACCCAGGCCGACCACCACCTTTTCAAATGCATCTACCAGAATTCCGTACTTTGTGCAAATGCTCGAACATGTAAAACAGCCCTTCCCAGTCATTCCCAGTCATGTAATCCGCCGGGTTATTATGATAGTTGAAATCAAACCGCAGTCATATGCTGTGCCCGGTGGGGTATTCAAATGGGAAACTATCTGGAAGGATCAAGTACAGGAACAAGTTCTTCATGCATTTGAGGCTGATCGTACTCTGAAATACTTGGGAGTCCTCATAGCTGCAGGTCGTCGTTGGGTGTACAGCACTGTGAACCGTGGCAAGCTAGTTTCTCGCACAATGTCAGAGATGCGCGATCCAACTTGGCGCGGCACTGGACCGCAAGTACCATCGTCTGATAATTCCGTGGTAGAGGAGGGGGACGTCCAGCCTGTTCTTCCCTCGTGGAACATCCCCGACTTTCTCCCCAAAGCAGAGAATGGCACCTTATATCAATTTGATCTCCTGGACGCCAGGGGAGACTCCCTCAGAGCCTTTCAAGAAATTGTAAATGACCTCCGCCATAAAAATAGTGATATTTAGTTCTAGGGCATCTTAATGGTGTGGGCAGGAGGGACGGTTTGGTATTATCGCGAGGCGGAATAGAGATGCAATGATGTGGTATACAACAAGGTTATGTAGTCGCCACATGCAGTATACAAGACTCAATGAAGAAGCCATGAATAGTTATATCTCAACCGTTTTGAAAGTACGCCATTCGAAATGTATATACCTGAATCGTACAGAGGTATGAAATCATATCAGTTGCAGAAAATCACTATTGGTGCCCAATGAGCAAACTACGATCGTGAACAATACCATGACTGTCACTTTGACTTGGAGTTAATTTTGATTGAGTAGCCTCAATTTCGCGTCAGAGCGAAGGTTTCTCTGATGGCGCATGGCGCAACAGAGATTTGTCGAGATCCATTGAAATGTGTTGCAGGGTGAGTTTTGTAGATCATGGATCTAACTGCGACCGTGAGCTCCTCCACCACTGCCACTCGTCGTGCCAGCCTGCTGGAGTGGGTAAACTCGCTCCAAACGCCACCGTGGAGGCATCCTCAGCCTTCCATGAGACCAGCACGAGTAGTAGCAAAAGAACGCCTTGCACCAGTGTACGTCTGGAAGAGAATCCAGGTCAGACGACTCGGACGGTGGGTCATTTGCTGCCGTGGACGACGACGCGACAGGCTGCTGTCGAGATTGACGTCGAGTATCATTGGCTTTCTTGTATTCTGGTAGCTTAGCAGCTGCAAGCCGCTGAAGGGCTTCAATCAGCATCAAGGTAAGAAGCAGGAAGATCTACGTTACAGTGAACTTGCGTCCAGGTGCGACTTCAATTTCAGGTGGTTCGTGGCTGGGTCTTCGCCGAAAGGAAAGGTGCTGCCGCAGGAACTGCTTAAGGTCGCTCGCGTGACGGGGAGAACTCGTTTCTAACTGGATACGCTCTCAGCCATGGACTGCTAATCAACTAAAAGTGAAGACTAACGTTTGTTGCCTGGGCTAAGAAAGAGTGGTTGGGAGGTAGGGCAGATGTAGCAGGGAACTGGAAAGTAATCTTCGAGTCAACTGCGGCAGAAAAAAGATCAAAAGACATACATCTAGGGGGTCACGAGGCTGATTGTTCGAAACTGCATTCGCACGAGGCAATCGAAGGAGTTTGCGGAAGCGGCGGACGAAAATAGATGATTGTGGGTCTACTGTAGGTGTAGGTCTTGGCCTAGGGGGGTACGAAATAGTCACTGGGTTACGAGGACGGCGGGTTGCATCAGACTACAACAGTTGCAATGGGTAGCATGATGAGTAGAAGAATGGGATGTATGCATTGCACATACCTTTAGTAAATCAGCGAGGCTTGAGTTTTTGTGTGCACTGGTCTGTGAAGATGCATGTATTAGTTCTCACACAATCTGTATAAGTCTACGTACACTGGCCTGTGCATCCGATGCAGACCCGATGCTGGCCAGGATCTCTGCCGGAGTGTTGTAAATATAAATGTCACTACCACTTGCATAAGCTAGTTGACGTGAGTCGGGTGAAAGGGTTAAGGAGCCGAGAGGCAGAACGTTGAACGAGGCGAGAAGATGGCGGGACTCGAAGGCCCAGAGCTTGATAGTTTCGTAGCATCCGGTAACGAGGAGAGTATCATCAGATGAAAGCACCAGGCCGGCAAGAACCATGGTGTGCCCTTCGAAAGGAGTTCCGACAGTCTTTAGGGTGGATGCATCGAACTCATAGATCGTCCTAGCAGGGTCATCCGTAAAACTGAATGCAGCAACGATAGTCAAGTTCTTCTTTGTCCAGAACACGGATGCATATGACATGGGATCGTAACCAAACGTTCCTGTTCTGACGTCCAACTTTCGTGTGTGCACGCCCCATACCTCAAGACACTTCCCCACATCTGACTTTACTGCAAGTTTCTTCGAATCATGCGAGAATCGAACTGCGCCCAGACCCTGAAGACTTGTGAATGGTCCAGCCACCAATTTTCCGGTCTCCAAGCTCCATATATGAGCCGAGCGATCGATTGCCCCGCTCACAAGCAACGCGCTATCTGTAGATATATCAATGCAATATGTCTCTTTTGAGTGGCCTTCAAATGTCTTGACGATGCCCGTCTGAACATCACACGCTTTGAGCTCCCCGCGACCAGAATGTGAACCACCAGTGACAACCCATCGACCATCCCTGGAAACTGCTACCGCACGGATTTGCCGCTTACAAACATCCCGCAACTTGGGAATCTCTTTACCCACTTGCATGTCCCATTGCCGAGCGGTAAGATCATCAGATCCGCTGAGCATTCGCTTGCCTTTCGGAAAGTAGGATATAGAACGAATTTGGTCTTCATGACCCCGTAAGGTCATTGCCGGTGCCAGAAACATTGTGGTGTTTGCGGTGGTGGATTGCGTTAACGTGGACGCCATGACCTGTGTCTTTTCGATCAAGAAAAAAAGAGCCAGGTACGTGCCAGAGATTCCTTGGACACGGTTAAAGAGCGACAGCAGGGTCTACTGTACTTGTACTGCAGGCCCGTTATTGATAATGACTGTGGCCACCTCGAGTACAGTGTACCTGCTGAAGACAATCATCAATTCTATGGCACTGTGTGTTCATATAAGATTTGATCATACCAAGAGGTTAGTGACCAAGTGACCAATTGAACTCAGGCGCCGATGTCGTCTATGTATATCGCTTGCCACGCCTCTTATGCATGGCACAACAGCTGTGCATTGCAGTGCCCTGGGCGTTTATGAACCTCAAAAAGTCTTCCCCTGCGAAGGCTATGACACGTGGAAAAATTAATGTGACGAACTGGACCACCACCTCCCATACAATACTTTTCTGCTGTCATACTATCCCTTTACAGATCCGCTGATGTTTGCCTTTGTCGACACAAGTGAAGCTGACAACTCGTCAAGTATAGGAAGACGTTCTTTGAGGCTGAGAGGGGACGAATGGACGGATGCAAGTCCGAGTCATCATGCATCACGTGGCGTTATGGATCAACAAATAGTCTTTCAGTCCTTCCGCAGTGTTCGTTTACAATATCGATATATTGTTCAGTCTCACTTTAAGTGTATGTATCACGGATAACTTGCGATAATTAGAAGTTCTACCGCAAAAAAATGAATGGGGTCGGTCCAAGTGAGGTAGGTAACACAGCTAGCCATGGAACAATAGCGCACTATTCATAAAATGCCTGAAAAATAGAGTATCAGCTGAACTCCAGTTTGCTTGCAGTAGAAGTCATTTTTGAGCTCTGCACTGTTCAGTGAATAAAATAAACGTGGCTGAACTACTATGGAATACGCCACCGATGCGGAGTTTCGACGCAGTTCGTGACACGTTCAACTTGGGATAAGAAATCGAACAGAGACAACAAACTAAACGATGCCTCTAACCATCGGACGTTTCGAGGGCGGGTCCCTTCCCAACTTTGAGTATATTGGACAAGCAGCGACATAGTAGCACTTATTACTAATTTGCGTGCGCCACACTCGTGGAACAAAGCAGCACAAAACTTCATCAACTTTTTTCGAGGATTGAAATGATAACTCTTCCATCGACAGGTTCCTTTTAATTCATAAAACCAGAGGCCGAGCGTTTGTTCTCCCAAATAGTGTTGTAGGTGTTCAGCACTGATAAATATCCCGATGTGCCCGGCCCCTTTTGAACGTCGTCAACTGTTGCTTTTGTTCTTGTTCTAGTTGCCTTATGAAACGTCCGGAACCGCCATGTCGTGAGCTTTAAACCACGCCCCGAATTCGGAAGGTGGATAATAACGGCAGAAGATAGATATTGAGCACCACTATTATCGCCGGAGTGACGACCCCGGGCCCGCCCGAGATGTGATTCATCATCATCGGCATCAAGCAAGCCAAAGGATGCGGAGAACCCTATGTCTAAATACCCACCAGAAATGAGTTAATCGCGAAAGGAACTGACTACGGGGATCCTAAAGAAGAGAGCGACATTGATGGTCAATATTTCATAGCCGAGTAAGTCCCAACAGTTCTGACCTGGGAGGACACTTGGAAATATGATCTGTTAAGACACAGGAATGCCACAGTGGGGTGATAAAGATATAAGAAGATGGCGGCAAGAACCTCTGCCGCCGTCTGTTACACTGTGCAGAGACACAAATATAACAACAAGTCGAACTAGAACAGTCGGTGCCTACGGTAAGGATATGACCTGTCCTAGATAATCAGTTTGGACCAGCATTTAACCGTGTTACTCAACCTATTTTACAACTCAAGTTCGTTTGACTGGGCATCACAAGCAAGATCATCATCTGATGATCTATTGACTATTGCATTACTCCAGGCGTAGTATAGTTGTCGTATGCATTGCTAACTGCAGCTGTCTCCTCCAGGGTTGAACCTGTTTGAACAGAACGTCAGTGCACCGAGAACTGCCCGATAAACTCGTACTTTTGAGAGGGAGCTCTTCAGCTCGCCTCAATATTCCTTCGCCGACGAGCGCGTCGACGAGTCTCAAGGAAAGTAAAAGCGGTCCTGTAGATAATATGATAAACAATCAAATTCAGTCAAATTCGTTTACCCGGTGGCGGATCTTAGTTCAGGTGATCAGTCACGCTGGACAGACCAGGGGTATAAGGAACCCTTACTTGCTTCTAGAAAGCAAAAAAAACTCAGCGAAGACACACAACATTTCTTATCAGAAAGGCATTTGGCTCGATGGAGGTTGACATGATGGAGTGATTGGTTCTATTGCAGAAAACAAATGAATTGGTATAAGTAGGTAGGGTATCGCAGCCAGCCATGGAACGATGGCGGAATATTCATCGAATTAACAAAACTGTAAGGATGTTAGCTCAAGGGCTCTCGAGATCAATATGCATACGCACTGGGATCTCTACCCACCATCCCGGTGGGCGCTCAAGCTTCATCTTCAGGTAATGCACTTGATCTTGCGTTGGACAGGTAGCCTCACGTTCCGTATCCATCCACAATACTAACAACAGCACCTCTCCCGATGTCACACACTCCGATGGGATATCCTTCGAATCTCCAACCACCTTTCCACCTGCCAAAGTGCACATGCGAAGACCAAGATATACCTCGAGAAATGTGAGGGAATTAATGGCGATGTAGGCACTGTTGTCTGATAAACTTTTGCCTGGCCGAACATGGTGGAAAGCAATGGTCCCCAGGTTATAAAGTTCCTTCCTGGTGATAGGAAAACCAAACAGCCAACAATTTCCGCATGGAGCCCGGGGAGGCTTTACGAGAACGTACTGAGATACGTCTGAGCTGTATTTAGAGGGCACCCATTGCACCGCGGTAGATGTTTTTTGTGAGTCAGACTCTGAGATCTGTGAACAAAATGAGTAGCAGTACGCGTACAACAGATGAAAGTTGACGAGGCACCCACCTGAAGTTTTCTAAGACTTCGCTCAAGTTGGCTTGCAGTAGAGGGCATTTTTCAAGAAGTGTTTCATCAATCGAAGTTCAGCTTGGCCATTATAACATTTTGGCACACGTCCACGCCACTGATATGACTGGACAATCAATTACATAATCATATCGCACCCATTGTTTGCTCGATGGAGTAAGATTCACGGACTTGAATATTTGAATGCGGCTCTGTGGAGTCTGGGCCAATGCTACACAGAAGTCCGCTGGTAGTATTGCATTCTTATGGTCTGCATTCATGTTCGTATGATCATAATGCGCATCATTTCAAGCAGTGCAGCCGCTGTCGTGACTAGGCATTCCCAGATGCATCATGGTGTTCTGGCACCTATAACTATGGTGAACTTTCATCCATGCCATCAGCGAGTTCACGATAATTCCTCGGCTATTTGAATTTTATTCATCCTAGCGACACATTGATAATCACAGACAATGCCTATTTTGTCTTCTTCTCTCTCTGGACTCTGCGAAGCACGGTGATTTTTTTTTGAATCGTTGTTCACTATCCATTTACAGCACGGTGACTTCAAGTTAGGGGCGCAAGTTACCAGCATTCCTCCGGAAGTCAAGGAACTGTAACTTCGGATAGCTTATCTGACTTCTCACAAGACGTGGCCGATTGATATCAGAGGTTTTCTATTTTGCAGAAAGTCCGTTGCTCGTGGCAAGGGGAGCCATATGAAAGAAGGTCATACGAACGTAACTTACTTATTGGAAAATAACGGTGGGCGAGGTGGCCTATGGGTGGCGTCGAAGCTGATGTACGGTGTTAGTGATGTAGATTTGACTGTCAGTTGCCACAATTCACCGTTGGTTCCAGGCCCAGAACAAAACCGACAAGGTCGCGATTATGCTTGACGGTGCAGAAATTACTGTAGGCAGCGAGGGTGGGCGACGCCGAGACCTATCAGTGATGCATGATGGTAGTCACGGGCCATCGTAAATCGAACATCACTCTAGCGTCACAACTGCAAACGAACATTGAACGAAAAGAACAAGGTTTGCGCCGATCGTGCTCAATGGAGTAAGAATCATGGTGAGTGGGCATTGTTGGGCGGTGTCGAAAAAGTTGATGCAATAATCGATAACGGTTTACTGCAACCTGTGACTACTTATCTCCGCCAGTGTTCAAGTGTGGCCTTGAAATGTCTGAATAATCTTGGTGTTATGGGTATAAAGTCACAAGTGCAGCCCATATATACCATTCTAGCGACTCTCCGAGACCCAGTGAGCCTTGCAATGTCATCTCGCCAACCTCGAGGTCCAACTGCACAGTCATTTCCACCTCGTCAACATTTCACAACCCCATCTACCTACTCTCAACATGCTCAAACTACACTACGCCAACCAGCCCCGAGTGCCCGGACTTCCACATCGCCGGTAAGTGAATGTAACGACTCAAGTCCTCACCACTGCTCACTACTATAATATCAGCTATCTGTAGTAGGAGGGTCCACTCGTGTGACTCCACCGAGTTCCCATTCAATGGTCGTCCGGGATTCCCATGATTTCTCTCTCGCATTATCTATCCAGGCTGCTCAAGCCGATACCAGAGAATGCTCCTGGTACGGGGTGTGGTCCAAAGTCTTGGAAAGATATATATTCCGTAATGCGGATGCACCCCGAACAGCGTGCACCTGCATTCCGCAGTATTCCCTCGTTGCATCCCATGATTCAAGTCGCTCGCCGCAGAGTGGTAGCTCCGGTTGGTCTGACGTAGTCATGGGCAGCCCTTCACAAGATCGGCATTCGATGACTCTAGGGAGCCCCCTTCCTGGACCACCCTTAGTGCCATACAACCATACCCCAGATTTTAGTCCTGATCCACAGGCAATTTTCGGAGGACCACTGCCTCCCCTTACACCTAGCCCTCCACACTCAGGCTCGTTGCGTCATGTACCGTACCCTGAAAGTCCTATTGCACAGCGTGTCACTCGTTTGCAATCTCTTCATGCGAAGGATGCTTCCAACCTTCCAGTCAACACCCGTCCACTGCCTCAATCCTCATCGCCATATCAAATTCCATTAGGTGGTATTCCCCCAACAACTCCACCCAGACAGACTACCGGCTTGTCGGATGCATCCTTCAGAATTCCGGACTTTGTGCAAATACTCGAGCATGCACAAAAGCCCTTCCCAGTCATTACTGGTCATGTAATCCGCCGGGTGATCATGATAGTTGAAATCAAACCGGAGCCACCTGCCGGTACGA